ATCAAAACGAAAGAAAATCGGTTGACAAAGCGAAAATTAAGTGAAGAAATAGGTATAGAACTGTTATTTTCTACTTATTGTAAAGCAACACAACAAAAATGACTCCAAGAAAGAGACAATTGGACCCCACATACAGCAGTGGATGTTTAAAGGGTTCCGTACCCCACCGGGCTGTATCTCGTGAACCGTGATAGTTAGACAGTTGAAATTTACACATGATGATGTATTAATGTTGTCGCTATAACAACAGTATAAAAAAATATTTAAGTGGGGCTCCCATACAACTGGTATAATCGTGCGGAACCCTTCTTGCGCCAGTACGACTCGCACTTGTTTTGATCATCAATTGTACCCGTTACGTCATAAAAATGACGTGCACTAGTTATTACTGCTCACCCCAATTGAAAAGACGAGGCGTTATTGCACCAAATTATGATATGTTCTGGGATTGGATGTACGTGTTACTACCCTAGTGAGGCAAACATGCTATAAAAGATGGTAAACAGAAAACAGTGACGCAGTTTGGGCCGTAGCAAACAGGGTATAAGGCCTTTGTCCTTTTATGGTTAACGCAGGTTATAAATAAGTCAGGGAGTCTATTATGTATTGCACGTAAAGACAGTATAAAGAACTGTTAACTACCACAGTAAATAGTTCTTTACATAGAGGATTATGTAACAAAATTAAAAGATTGTAATTGAAGACAAAATAAATGTATTATATTATTATTACATTTATTGCCATAACACACTTTTTAACATTGTGTATTACGTTAAGTGTCCATTGCAGCTTTTGCTTTTGCAATGGTACTCCCAGGGAACCACAGCCTCGCATAAGTATTATCACTTAGCGTTTCATCTGGTGAGTGAGGTAATAGGAGCCCACTTTTTAAGCGTTGGTAATGCATCTGCAACCCTTCATGTGTTGTACTTATCCATAAGCGGCGGCACCCAACGGACCGCTGGCTTTCGCCAACTTTTCACATAAATAACACACAAGAAATAACTGTGTTAGGGCCACGCAACAGTGTTCACTATTGCACGAATGGGCCGCTCCGTCCGGGTAAGTACCACGACCTCGCAGAAGACAGGCGTGAAGTAGAAGTTTTACACTTCTGCGTTTCGTCTGGCGAGTGAGGTAGCCGGGGCGCACTTTATTTAAAAGTGGCAACGCATTCGCAACGCTACGGGTGTTGAAAATGTTCATGGGCGGCGGTAATCACTTAACATCAAGTGTGAACCGCCAGCTCGATTGCCAGTTTCTCACATAAAAAAAAAAACAACAGTGAAACATAACCCTGTTCGTACCCAAATACTTAAGACGGATGTAGACGCGGTTAACTTAGACCACGGCGTAAATGAAGCATTTCAATATTGGCTCGATAAAACTGCTTAAACAGCTTTGCTCGTTTTTTTTTTTTTTGTAAATCATGTATTTTGGAAATAAAGAAAATGATCTGGTATAGAAAAAAAGTAAAAAAAATAAGTGTGTAAATAAGCTTGATACGAACCGCGGCCGTCTGTTTTGGGGCCGCCCGATTACCGACCGAGCTATTATAATTTTCTAAAAATGAAACCTAGGTAGATCGATTTTGATGGGGCCGTTTGAGATTCCGATTATGTATATACAAGAATTGCTTGTTCAAAGGATAAGATATATTTGGTATTCGGCCATGATAAAAGTTGCCGAATAGCCGGAATATTGGATAATAGTCGAATATTTGTTGCAAGTCAAGTGTTAACCGTAATCGAATTCTGTATGGCCTGTCAAGTCTCGACTGCCTGGGCCCCCTGGCGTCAGCACACCCTTACCCGCTCTTCGTACACATCCTGTTGGCCACGCCCATCTGTGGGCAACGCTAGCCTGGTTTCCCCTTATATTATGCGCTTCCCTTTAGTGGCTACTTGGCAGGTGCTTTCGGACACGGGTTACATATCGATTCTCCCACTTCTGGCACGGCTTGGAACCTCAATCGAAGGCGAATATTCACGCGGCTCGTGTATAATCATTTCTTGAAAAACTTTTGAGCAGGATCCGCTTAAGAGCTTTTTAACGTTTCTCAACAACTCCGTTTTATTTTCTCGGTTGGTAAGAAAATTGGTAATGGAATTAAATAAAAATATACTTAGTAAATGGCTATGCGAGAGACAAAATTTTTGAAAACCAATTTCGGTGCCATTATTCCGCCATTTTAATTTTTTATAATTTTAATATTATGGAAATGAAGCATTTCAAAAAAGAAAGTACGTTTATTTGTTAGAACATAGTACAATATAGAACTTAAAAACTGTGGATCCTTTATGTTCTACAATTTCTGGTGTATAAATATTTCATTTTACATTAAAAACATGCAAAAAACGAAACAAAAGTAAATATAATCTAGAATTACTGTTTATATAAAATTTTATCATTTAAATAATCCCCTGTGGAATAATAACATTTACTTATCAAAAAGTTAAACAGATTTCGCTTAAACAATTTTAAATTCAAAGTTTTTAATCTATTTGGTAATTTATTATGTATCCTAATGGCGATACAATAACAGTTTTTGCTGAACATTGTGGTACGATGGGAAGGCATGTGTACTTTGTTCGAGAATCTACTATTTCGATTGCTTATTTCTAAATTACTTTTAAAGAGGGCCGGATGTTTATGAGCAAATATGCAAATTTCGAAAATGTATAAACAAGGCAGCGGCAGAATATGGTGTTTTTTAAATAGTTGTACACAACTAAGTATTCTGCGCCACTTATAGATTTGAGACATTTTTTTTTGCGCTCTGAAAGCTCTGATCAAGTCGACCGAATTACCCCATATAATTATTCCATAATGCAAAATGGGGTGAACATATCCGTGATAGGCACAAAGAGCAGCGCTTGGTGTCGCAATTTGTTTTAATCGGTTTAACACCTATACTTAACCTTCTAATTTGGAACAAATTTTATCGACATGTATCTTCTAGCTGCATTATTTGTCGATCGTTATGCCCAAAAACTTTGTTGATTCTACTTTTTCTGGCATCTTATTATTATTTGTAACATTTATAGAAGTTAAGAAGAAGATAAGAAGTTAATAGTAACCCTATGTTACTGTTGTAAGTTTGAAATTGAATAAAGTTGGTTTTACTAAAGTTTAAATTTAAATTATTTCTAATCATCCATTCAGTAATATTATGCAGAGTTTGATTTATTTGTCTTTCATAGGTATCTTTATTTTTGCACTCTATTAGTAATGTTGTGTTATACGCATACGAGATACATTTATATGCAGTCGCATCTGGGAGATCATTAATGTAGACTAAGAATAAGAGCGGCCCCAAAATACTGCCCTGTGGTACACCACATCCATTCCATTGATATCGAGATCGTTGTAATTTTTGTATAGACCTGTAAAAAGTATGGTATTTCAATACACTGATAGCGATCTGAAAGGTAGCTTTATATCCAGTATAATGCATTTCCTCTGATACCATGTTTATATAGCTTTTTTAAAAGTATACTATGGGATACAAAGTCAAAAGCTTTGGACTAGAGAATATCTACAAAAATAGCTGTTGATTAGGGAACCTTTTGATCCAAATATTCCGTTATTGTTTTAACTAATGTAAAACAAGCTAATGTGGTCGAGTAGTTTTTCCTAAAACCAAATTATTCTGCTTTTAAAATATTATGTTTTATTAGGAAGTTATATAACCTATTATGGAATTATATTAATATATATAAAACTTTATATAAAAAATTAAAAAATTATATAAAAAATTTAAAAATTAAAAATTATATAAAAAATAAAAATATATATAAAAAATTTTTCAAATACCTTTGACAAAATTTGAATTAAAGTTACCGGTCGATAATTGTTCACGATGGTTTTATCCCCATTTTTAAAAAGCGGCTTCACTACAAAGAATTTAATCGTGTTGGAAACATACGTTGAAAGAAAGACATATTTATTATATTACATATAGGACCAGATCGCCTCGGCACATCTTTTTACCATTTTTGTGTTTATTTCATCATAAACTGCAGAATAAGTATTATTAAGAGATATAATAACGTTATAAACTTCGTTCCTATCAACCGGATTCACGAAAATTATGTTAGAGTTATTTGGTAGGGATTTCAAAATTAAGTTATTGTCTGCTGAATAAAATAAGACATTAATTCGGCCACCATCATTAACAGTGTTCTTGTGTTCTTCTTCTGCCGTTAAATACATCCATTGATATACATAATTTAACAATTAAAAAAGAGTATAGAGAAAGACATTGAAAGCGAATAAAAGAAAGGAGAGTTACAGCTTCTACAAGTTCAACTGCTCTTTTATTCCGAAAATATGCAGGTTTCCTCACGATGTTTTCCTTCACTGCGGAGCATGTGATAAAGTCAGTAAGTATTTCAAGTTAAAAGCTTCATTGGTGCCGGAACCGGGGATCGAACTCAGGTTGCTTGAGTACATTGAATTAAAAGCGAGATCAATAACTTGAAACAACACAATATACGTATATTATACTTACACCATTTGAATTAAAAGCAAGCGCCTGGACACTGAGCTATCATATTTATTCAAATAACTTGAAATAACACAATATACATCATTCATACTTATACTAGCAAATTTACAGCATGAGGAATCTATGAGTGTTGTGATGATGCGGTGGAAGGGTCTCAGCTTTAACTGCAAAGCGGCGCTGATCTTTAGTGTAAACTGCAACACTGCAGTGCTGATCTTTAGTCGGCCTTTTGCGACCGTACGTACCGGGCAGGCCACATTAAGCGAGTATCACTACATAGTATAAAACAAAGTCGTCCCGCTGTCTGTCTACGCTGTCCGTATGTATGCTTAGATCTTTAAAACTAGGCAACGGATCTTGATGCGGTTTTTTTACTAGACAGAGTGATTCAAGAGGAAAGCATATATGTATAATTGCACCCGCGCGAAGCCGGGGCGGGTCGCTGGTTTACTTATAAATTTATTATTCAATATCTAATGTTCGTTCGCAGGAAATGCGCAGGAAAAGAGCCGGACTGCGTGGCGATAGGTAGCAGGCTGCGCGGCCCGATGGGCACCAGGCCGCCGGCGGAGTTCTGGCCCCAGCTCTGGGCGACGGTGGTGCGGAGCCTACTCCTCAAGAAGCGGGACACCAGGAAGACCCTAGCTGTCAGTTCCTCATCCTTTTTTCTTTCTTTTTCTTTTCTTAAAAAAATACATTGCCCTTACCTTAGGATAACTCTATCCTGTGTTGTGAGGATGTTTTGCAAACATAAATTTCACTCGGACAAAAACCTAATTGCGAAACAACTATCTGTGGGTCACAAATAATTGTTTCGTGTGTAGCTTTGCATGTGTGCCACAGTGTCACCACTCCCCCATTTTCACTCAGCGTGAAGTAATATTTTTTGTATATCGTTACGCAAGAGATACCGTAAAGCTGTTTTTATGTGAAAAGTTGCCAAGCGAGCAAACGGTTCACCTGATGTTAAGTGAATACCGCCGCCCATGGACATCTGCTACACCCGAGGGTTCCAGATGCGTTGACAACCTTTTGAAAATTGGGCTCCGGCCACCTCACTCACCAAACGAAACGCGAAAGTATTATACTTCCACTTTACGCCAGTCTTCTGTGAGGTCGTGGTACTTACCCGATCGAGCCTGCCCATTCGTGCAACAGCCGAGTCTGCTGCGTGGCCCTACTACCGTGGAGTGTTTTAGAGCATGCAACAGCTACGGGGAGTTTTGAAGTGACTGTCATCGACCTTAACACTGGAGTGGGCCATGGGTAAATCTATGGGAAATGTATAAGACAAGCCCTCTAGGTGTTAAGCAAAAGTAAAGTAACAGCCTGTATAAATATGTTCCACTGCTGGGCAAAGGCCTCCCCTGTCCAGGCGGTATTAGGGCATAGTCCTCCACGCGGCCCCACTGCGGACTGGTGGACTTTACATAATATCTTCGAAATATTTCTTTTTTGTTATTATTTCGAAAATGTTCCAGTTTCCTCACTATGTAACGCATAACGTATAAGTCAGCACTTAACAATTTCATTGGTGCTGGCACCGGGGATCGTACTCGGGTTGCTCGAGTATTACTGATTTAAAAGCGAGTACCCGCAAAATGAGCTATCACGGCTCTTTGGTTAGGTGTTGTTTATATGTGTAAGAACATTTGTATGTTCGTTAACTTGGGTATATGTGGATAAGATATATAATACAGTGTGTAAACATCCACACACTATGTTCATCAAACAATATTTTTCCAGAGATCGAACCCACACCCTCTAGCGAAAGAGGCACATTCACAACTACTACACCTATTGGGTCGTCATTCGGGATTAAAGTATTCATGATGTCATTAATAATTACAGTTAATTTGTTTTCAACACCATATGTTGATTGGTACATATGGTCCCCTTTTGTGTTCTTCGCTTTCGAAGGCATTGCATACCAGTCTACAAAAATAGGTCCAATTGATTGGCAAAGACATCGGCACTAGTGCGAATCGGCAGAGCTGACATATTTTTGAAATATTTCAATTTAAAGCATACATACGTATACATATATGGTAATTAGGGGGTAATGCCTGGATACTGAGTTATAACAGTGTATGTATATATATTTTAGTGTTTGTTTAAAACCATCAGTATATTTGTGACGTCATGAATGAAGCCTTCCTAAGAGTTTATTCATGCACAATCTAGGTTATAGTAATCAAATTAATTTAATCAGATTATGTAAATTTTATTAGCCAGTAAGACTGACTGCAAAAAAAAATTCACGCAACCATCATGCTTTGAAGTGTGAATGAACAAAGTAGGACTTTATCCATCCATGCAAGAGTATCGCTATCGTCTAGCTATTTGTAACGCTTCATCGGACGAGAAGCGAATGCTAGTTTCGATGTCTTGACGCAAATGTTTGCCAAACGTGCTCATGTATGGCGAAACGTTTGGTACGTTCATTCAAGAAACTAAATGTACATAATTCGAGTTTAATCAGAACCAGCTTTAAACAACTACGAAGTAAGGTTGGCGGTTCTGTCTTTGTTTGGCTCTTCAGGAGCATCCCATATAATTTGACGAAAGCGATGTTAAATTGGTTAAAGTTTTAGCTATAATACAGCGGGGCAATAGATCGTAGCAGCATCAGGTATTTCATAATGAAATAGATACGATAAAAAAAGTTACATCTACAGGCTAGCAGCGTTAACAATAAACAAAACACTTCGTTAAAACAAGAAAACTCTTCGAATTCCAGGAGGTACTGGTTCCCCTCTACTGCCTGGGCGTGCTGATCTTCCTAAAGATGCTGGTGCCCAACCCCAACTTCCCGGAAGTGAGGAAACCGGGCCGCCTCCTGCGTATTCACCACGACGCGTTCCCGGAGAACCATTCTGTGGCGGTGGTCGCCGATTGGGCGACGGCAAACGGAACGATGGTAAACCAGAAACAACATCAGATTCTCAGTTAAATGGTGATAGATATAAATTATGAAGACTATAAGATAAAAAAGATAATGGCTAAAGACTAAACGATACTTGGGAAAAGTAACAACACTTAGTAAACTTTTCCCACTTTCTCGCTTCCTTCTACTATGGTTAGCGATGTCAGTGCTTTCGGCGGAACGCCGCTGTCCCCTTTGCTCTAAGCCTATGCATATCCCCATTGATCGTACCGACCTGACAAGCTTCATCGAACTCAGGGTATTGTGCCACGCTATCATATCTAATTCTGGATATTTCTTTAAATGGATTACGATCAAACATTTGTGAGAGAGAAGGAAAGGAAGGAGAGAATTTCGCTGACAGCCTCTGTAACCTGAACAAAGCGCTTAGGCCAGACGGTGCACCTAAGGATAAGTACTCACCATTGCCCTTTGTTCATTCAAACACCAGGTGTTTTGTCGAACCAATCATACAGTAACAGACACTGCGTTGATTTTCCATTTAATTCTGGAACGTAGTCGTTTTCATTATAGCATATATACCTCTAGGGCTTCCTGGACGAGATCAACAACCAACTGATGGATTCCGGCCAGCACGCCATCAACTGGATCCGGTACAACAACACAACTGAGCTCAACGACGCCTATCACCTCAACGCACGCCACTTCCCCATCGCCGTCATCTTCCACACTGATCCCAGTGCCTTCGGGGAACCGCTCAGGTACTTCCTTAAAAAGTGGCTATTTCGATTTACAAAATTACAAAACAGCGTTAGTACATAACCATTTTTTAAGAGTATTGAAAGGAATTATTGATATAGAATTTAAATTGGAGCTTTGAAATAAACGAGTTTTTTATAAGATCCGAAACAAAATAAAAGATTAGAACCGAAGACGTCGATGATTATGATGATTACGCAGTGATGAAAAAGTACTTTTTGAGTATGAGATGAGATTATAAATTCTTAATTAATAATACCTCATGCCAGACATCGAAAAAGGTACTGATATTAATCAACCTTAATCTTCAAGAACGCTCGAGCTTGGTAAAAACTCACAGTCATATTTTTATGAGCATTACATGTAATTCATTACTTTACATTTTGACTTAGAAATAAAAGTTTTACAAACTACATACGGAATAATTTTTATTAACACACAACCTGTTCCGTGTGGAGTTCGAACCCACGGCGCGTATAGGTTGGCAAGTTGAGCACCTAAATCATTGCGCTATCCGGGCATATACAGTTGGAATACTTTACAAATGATAATAACAGAGATGCCCTGCGATGCTTTTCTATGTTTTATCGTCGTCCCATCCTCGTCAGGTACACGATCCGAACGAATCCATCCCACGCTGGCACCCCATCCACTCGCACGCTGACCACGTCGCCGGTGAAGTGCCGAGAGCGCACCGCCGTCAAGGACTGGTCCTCGGACTGGTCCCGTGGCGGGCAGCTGATACCCCTCTCCGAGATGCACAGGGAGGACACCTGTCCAGTTCTACAGTACTACTACTCCGGATTCCTGGCGCTTCAGACCCTTATCGACTTCGTCAAGATTAAGGTACTCCTCCAGACCGTTATCGACTTCGTCAAGATCAAGGAAAGTAACAGCCTATACATCTCCCACTGTTGGGCAAAGGCCTCCTCTATACAGAGGGTATCAGGGCATAGTCCACCACGCGGCCCCACTGCGGATTGGCGGACTTCACATATCTTCGAAATATTTTTTTTATAAATTATTTTATAATTTTTTTTGTTATTATTTCGAAAAAATGCAGGTTTCCTCACGATGTTTTCCTTCACCGCGGAGCACGTGATAAGTCAGCACTTAAAATGAATAACTTCATTGATGCCGGCACCGGGGATCGAACTCAGGTTGCTCGAGTATATTGAATTAAAGACAAGCGCCCGGGCACTGAGCTCTCACGGCTCTTAAAGATTCAATCTCTTAAAGATACTTCTCTTTAATGAACCGGCTAAAACTTTACCACCATTCCACCCGATGGCTGTGACGGCGGAGGTGTAATGACTTAATTTTAAAGATAAATAATATTGTAACAAACCCTTGAGCAATAATATGGTTTATTTGTTTGCAAAAGAATATGTTCGCTAACCAAAAATTATTAAAGTCCGTGCATGTTTTTATGATTATGGTGTTCTGAGCTAAGACAACGCCTGTTAAGCAAGGGGCGTTTACCTACCGTGCATTTTCTGTCTTATGCCTATGAACTTTAACTGCATTTTACTTTAAGAGAGGGAAGTCAATCGAAGGAAGAATTATATTGTGGTAGAGAATTACAGCTTCTGCCACAAGAATTGATCAGCTCGACTGAGGTATTCAAGTGTGAGAATAAAATATTTATACAACAAAAAGACGTGTGCCATATCTTGTTTTTTGAGTAGAGTCGTGTGCCATGGATGGCGGTCATCTCTTACCATCAGCAGAACCGCACGCTCAGTTGTCATTCCATAAGAATAAAAAAAGCATATTTAAGAAGTCGAATAAAATTTAATGTCTTCATTAATTTCCGAATGTAGCTGGACACTGGTTCACCCCTTCCGCCGCCGAGAGTAGACCTCCGCCAGTTCCCCAAACGACAACACACCGGCGACTGGCTGGTCATCTTCAGGGTGATCATGCCGATGTACATGGTGATGACTCTGTCGCAATTCATCACCTACCTGCTTATGTTCGTGGTCGGCGAGAAAGAGAAGAAGATCAGGGAGGGCATGAGGATAATGGGCTTGAAAGACTCCGTTTATTGGTAAGCAAGGCATTTCTACATATGTTATCCAGTTTTTCTTGTCTAGTACAAGAGACTGTAACTCGGAACAACATAAAATTTACATCGCTAAGACAAAAAACTAACGTCAACGTCATAACTTAATTATTCATCGCCTTCATGTCTAAATTAACTAGTTGATATATTTCTGTTTGCTAGTCATGCACAGTATTGTCAAGGGTCTTATTTGAAAACACAAAAATTACTAAAAACACGATACCTCAAAGCTTAATGGCAAATCGTGGTTTGATGTTAACATGATTGAATTAAAAACAAAAAAGGGATAATTGCAAAGGACGACTTGTAGACATGCATATTTTGTGTACATAAAGAATAAATAAATGTACTTAAATGAAACTTTTTGTAACGAACTTATAGCGTTTATTTTTGACCATGAACGCTTTAAAGGGTTCGAAACGTCGGGAATTAAAATTAAAAATAAACACGATAAATACGGATTTTACAAGAAATTATCACATAAATAAATAAATATTCTTACTCTAGGGGCTCCTGGTTCCTGATATACGCTGTTTTCGTAACTATACTGTCAATAGTCAGCACTGTTCTTCTATTCACGTTAGGGGTAAGTGCACAATCTTAGTCCACAAAAATATCTACTTTTTATCCCAGGTATTTTAAGTTTGGGCACATTTATAATTCAACACCTAACAGTTTTCTAAAGGCTGGAATATGTAGGCGCGTTCAATTGATGATTCATAAATTTAATGGATTTTTCCTTAACCATAAACTTCGAGTTTGCGTAAATACAGAAGTCATCACTTAATCGAAAGCAACAAAGGAGCTCTATTATACTATTAAAACATGTAGAAATAGTACGAAAAGATTGTCGCCGCTGTGGGAATCGAACCCACGAATTTAAAGTTGACATCTCTCGTTCGAATATATCGTTGTAAAACGATATTCGAAATTGTTTGTATGCTGGAAAGGATATAACAATAGATGCGCCGAGCATTGCTTCAAATGCTAAATAACAATGTAGAAAGAAGGCGTTAAGATTTTCGTCGCCGTGGCTATCAGCCGTTTAACTCAGTGGCTAGAGCGTCAGGCCGCGAGTACTGAAGACGTGGGTTCGATTCCCACAGCGGCGACAATCTTTTCGTACTTTTTCTACATGTTTTAATGTTCAATCTTAAGTGCAGAGATTACCACTATAAAAAACTTTAAATTTAAGCTCTATTATACGTTACTACTACACTGCAAACTGAATAGCAACTTACACTAGACAAAATCGTTTGTAATGTTCTAATTGCCATGTAAGATCCGTCAGTTTAACAGGTTGAGTCGTTTTGTATAAAAGTAAACTTATGGCTAAAGCATATTATACCATTGGGGAATATTTCGACGAGGTCAATGTGTGGATTTAATACTGTTGATACTCACGTAAGCTCAAATAAGAATATAATACCATGATATGTTGTAATCTGACTTTTTTTTTAATAAACAGCAACTGTTGGGTTTCTTGCCAGTCTCAACAGAAAGTGCCTTCCGAATCGGTGGTAACTAACTTACGAAATTGTGTATCAATTATTATGTAAAATTCGACTATGATAAGAACTTGCAAGCGTCGTATTTGAATTGAATAGAATTACACTCTGCCGTGTTCTCATTGCGATTCCCCTTCCAGGTTTTTCAGCATTCGTCCTACGTTCTCATATTCCTTCTGATGCTTCTCTTCGGATTTACCATCATCACCTTCGCGTTTATGTTGACGCCGTTCTTCGACAGTGCCAGGGTGAGTTTGCCAATATCATATTCAAAGAAAAACCATCTATAATGTAATGTACATTAAAGTTGATTTCTCCTTGAGCCAGGGTAAGTCAATACCATATTCAAGGAAAAACCATTTATAATCATGTATCTTTCATGACCAACGTGTTACGGATTTTTGAAATTTGTTATAATCGCAGAAACAATTTCTGTGATCTATCCATATTCTGTTTCAAACACAAGAGGAAAACAAATCGTGTATAATTCTATATATCAATACCACGTGAAGCAAAAAAATTGCGCGGACGGAGAAGTATGAAATTTCCCACACTTATATATAGGGATGGAGTGCAGAATGCTAATACTCTTTTAAAATAATGCATTCAAATTACATTAAATCAATTAAAAAAAACATTACACTCCCTACGATGTGTAATTAATTATGGTCGAACTTCGACAACTAGTCTATGTAAATTAATAATATGTAAATTAATAATATCTATATAAATATCTTCTAATTTGAATGTGCTTACCTCGTTGACTGTTTCTAAATGAATATTTGAATAAAGTCTCATGTGGGACGTGCCATTCAATAGAATATTAATGGATTATTACTTGCAACCTGCCGTAGACCGCGGGCATCCTTGGCAGCTTCGCGGTGAACCTGATGAGCTGGCTGTACTTCATCCAGGTGTTCGTCTCCAACGCGGACTCGCTCGCTTTCTGGTTCGTCTCCCTGATCAGCTCCAGTTGCTACGCACTCGCCATGGACAAGGTAACGGTGTTATCCAGGGGCCCGTGCTTACATCGTAAGAAAATCTGATAAATCTATATGCTTTAAAAAGGAACTCATGAACCCAGTAAAAATCTTTACTAAGTTCATCATCATCATCATCATTTCAGCCTGTTTGAGTCCACTGCTGAACATAGGCCTCCCCCATAGACTGCCATGAAGTACGATCCTGAGCCACCTGCATCCATCGACTTCCCGCACATTTGCACAGGTCGTCACTCCATCTAGTGGGGGGTCGTTCCCCAACGGTTATCGGTTATGTTACTAAGTTATGCACAAAAAATTAAATAAATGTCTACCTACATTTTGATGACTTGTTGTCGCGACGCAGTTGCTGTAACGTCGGAAGTCGTGGACTAGATTCCCACACCAGAAAACTATTTGTGTGATCCACAGATAATTGTTTCAGATATGGATATTTGTCCATTTGTGACACAAATACCTGGACTTGCGCATAGGATATAGATTATTATAATCTTCAAATCTATATAAATAAAAATTAATGTGGGTAAGCGCATAGCTCGAGAATGGCTGCACCAATTCGGCTAATTTATTTTTTATATGTTCCTTAAAGTCCGTGGACAATAGTAAAAACAAAAACGTTACATTTATTTAATCTTTACTATTAACTTTTGACAGAACGAAGTTTGTCCGGGCAGCTTGTACTATGTATATAAAGTAATAGAAAATAATATTCATATGGTGGAAGAATTTCATAATTCATGTACTGTCCATAAAGACATTTTTTTAAATTTTTCAAAATCTTTAATAGTAACCAAACGTAAAAGACATCTAAAGCTGTTTCTTTAACGCCCGGTTTCTGAAACACTGATCATCGTAGATGTCAACTAATCAGCTGTCAAATGGATTTCAAATTACAATTTAGGTACCAAAAGGATGATTAAAATCTCTGAATTGACCAGAATGATCTTCTTTATGATTAGAATGATCAATTCAAAGAGTTTAAACATCCTTTGGGCAACTCAAAGGACATTCTCGGTCTCGCAAATATTCAGATTTTAAAATAAATTTAAGTATTCTAAGATAAAAATAAGGGAGTTATTAACCACAGTCGCGATAGACAACGCCACCTGCCGGGAAATGTTACGATGAAGTTTTAAACTGTTACATGTCAAACGAAAAATGATGTTTAAAGTTGACATTGATAAATAATTAACATATCTAATCGTGACATTATTCTGTTTACCGGTTTCCAATTTGCATAATTTGCAATGTTAATCAAATATAGGTCACGCTTAAAAGGTTTATTAATTTGTTTATTTGAAAAAATTTTTAGTCTGCCAATCCATAAACATATGATTTTTTTTAATGTTAAGGGAACTGATCAAGAAAAGTTCTTAAACTTTTTGAAACAAAAAATGTTCGCCCGAACAGGGACTCGAACCCTGGACCCTTGGATTAAAAGTCCAATGCTCTACCGACTGAGCTATCCGGGCAATAAGTTGAGCTCTAAAATTGTTTAACACATAATTGTATTATAAAATATACATTTTTATTTATTTTAATTCTTTGAAATTATTATATTATATTTAACTTTAATAAGCCGACGTAAAAATTCGGAAACATATAACTTACTAACTAATAATATTGGTAGTAACGATATTTATGTTCAAATTGTCATTTTCAATATTAATAGTAAAACTACCATGTATTAATAATAATATGGTAAATGTTAAAAAATCACCGAAAAATGTGACGAAGATAAACTCTGATCTTGCGGATTTTTAATAAGAATCCGTATTATTCTCGCCGTTTAACAGCCTCGATGAAATCTACTTCACTTAACAAATAAACGAATGGTCATTTAATGTTATTTACTAATTATCGATCGACTAATTAATAATTAGAGCATCTGAGCGACTACATAACAGATCGATACAGAGTAAAGACACGCACAAAAATCCCGTTTGTTTTTCTTTCAAGATTGCTAATAAATAGGATATGGTGTTGTTGTATAATTTTATTATTTTAAGAGTTTTTGTACCAAATAACCATTCCTTTCTTCTTTTCTTCTTTCTTATTATTAGTTACTAATGTTAAAAAAAATCAATAAATTTGTTTCTTTCTTTACTATAACTAGGAAACGGTCATTTTACTCTTTTTCTTTATGAATTAGATGTACCTACGTAATATGTAATTGTACGAGTATTTTTCTTTAATAATCATAAAAATAAAATGTACCGCTGAGTTTCTTAAAGAATGAAAGACTGTTTGAATGGCTTTTCTTTTCCGAACCAGTAATAGTATTGTGACAATCAATAAGTAAGTGTAATGATTCTGTATTGAATAATGATAATTAATTGAATTTGAATTTGATTAGGTTACTGGAAAAGTTTGAAATAAAATGTTAGTTGGTACATGATACCAGGGCGCGTTGATTTTAGAAAACGACCAACCTCAGCAGTGAGTTATTGGGATAAGTATATCAATGTATGGGGCGGAATAACAGGGCAGTGTTGGGATAGTGCTTGGACTGGTCGACACGCCATTGAGTTAATTTTAAGTTCGAACCCCTAAAACGCTAATTAAATATCTGTTTTAATAATTATTACTTGGTAAAGTCACTACGTGTAATACCACTCGTGGGTCATAAACAGAACAACCGAAAAAAACTGTGCTTTTTACAAAATTATGTGAAAAAATACTTAGAACATTATTATTTTTGGTAAAAAATACAATTAAACTAACATTTTATCAATTTATTTTAAAATAGCTTTATTATTGCTAATTATATTTGAACAAACATAAAAATTTTGTCAATTTCATCTCCTTTCGTGGACTGTTTCCAGTCTATGCTCATAAGTTAGATATTATATAAAAAAATACTCTAAACGAAAAGTTTCAATTTTTCATCATTAATTTGGTTAATAATATCCTATAGTTATTAAAAAATTATATTGTGAAAAATAATCATCCTCAATTATAAGAATTATTATGCATAAACATGTTGTTATCAGTGCTTGCGACCCCTTCCGTGGTACAAATAAAATATACATTCGATACAGTATTTAACAAAAGGCAACATGACTTATTTATTTCTGTTTGCAACACTATTTAGTTGTTAGTTGAAACTTATCGTTGAAAGTCGTGAATTTGCTCTGTGCAAAAATAAAATAAACTTTTGTTTAATTAAGTGATTTTTTGTTATTTATGGCAAAGATCGTTTCAACTTTTCTGTTACGTTAATATTTCGGTAAGTATTATCATGAAAAATACTTGCTGTAATTTTCCTATTGAGATATCGGCGGCCATTGGTAAAAACTCTATAAGTCGTTTTCTAACCACAAAATTTTGTGTTTTGTATAGTAATTTATAACTTGTTTTCCTTTTCGTGGACAAACTTCTCAGTGGACACTGTGAACGCCGAAGGGTAAAGGAACCCACGGAAGTGAGTTTTACTAAGTTCCTTAACTTGTATTAATACAAATTTTTGTGTTTAGATTAACTAATATTCTAAAGCAAGTGTTGCTTCGAGCCGTCTGAATGCTATTTATTATTATGTGCTCTGCTTTTTTTAATTATATTTAATGGTTGAAGTAGTATGAGATTTTTCTATATTTCAAGTAAAAATTCTGCGTACCTAGATCAAAACTCCTCAAGTGATGAAGAAAAAAGAACAGATGACGTGAACAATAAAATTAGTATACGCCGAGCATGTATAAAACTGGATGCAACGGCTAAGGTAGAAATACGTAAGAGGGATAGAGAAAGATACTATAGCAAGAGGTAATATTAAAACGATTGGCCAATATCTTCCTAGAAAACAGCGCCAAATAAGAAAAATGTGGCGACTAAAACCTCGAAAACGTCGTGAGTTATTAAAGATGCGAGAAGCCACCGCTACGGTTCTTGAAGATAATACTTCGCCGATGAGTCATTCTTCATCATCTTCGACCTGTCCTTTATAGAATCAGGGAAATAAGTCCCAACTTACCCGAATTACATTTATTGAGTGATGGGCCAAGCATCCAATACAGAAATTAATCTATGTTTTACTTGATATTAAATCATAATGGCAAAGAATTGAACAATTTTAACAATATTACATGGCACTACAGCGAAAAAGATCATGGCAAAGGAGCTCCTGATGGCGTAGATGGCTGTGTAAAGAGACTGTAATAATTCAGTTGGGTAAAGAAGAGTCCAATTATGATTGTATTATGACATGTTTAAAGGAAAATTGTAGGCGTATAGAGATTGAGAGTAATTTCCAATTCCGATGAGTCTGATATAATATTTCCTTTGTTGTCAACTAAAAAACGAACAACCATTTGCCTATGCAAATGGTTGTTCTTCATCTTCACTGTCTATACAGTGAAGATAAAGAACAACCTAGATTCTATATCTTGATTAGAAGTTAACATTTTTCCTATTGTTACATTTTTTTTTCTTGACATTTCTAATGTCAACAGTAGAGAAATCACTTCCTTGGACAATTTTATTTTATTTTTAAAGTCAACAAATGTTGTATAATTTGTTTCGTTTTTTATATTAAGCACTTAAGTACAGTGTAATTATTATTTTGTATCAGTTAACAGAGTTTTGAAAGCACAGTTATTGATTGAGAGCCTAGTTTTATCTTTTCTGTTGATTCTTATGTCTTTTCCGTGGACACAAAAAATGGAAATGTGGCCTATCTTGTAGAGAATAAGGTTTTGATCTCTGAATTTAATCATAAAATGATCCTTTTGTTACATTTTATAATAAAAGTTGATTTTTTACATATAAAGTAACTTTTTTATTTCCAAGTTTTGATTCACACTTTTGTTTATGACCCTTGTACGCGACGAACCATCGCCTATGTATTCTGACACGCGATGAGAGTTCATAGGTTTGAGAGTAAGCTATATCGATCATAGAGAAAGAGACATCTGTTTCTCGATTTTGAATGGCAACGTCCAGTGAAGAGTGACGTCACCGTTTTGTCGTTTCGGGAAATTATCTGGTAAAACGGGATAGCAATAACTACTTTTCTCTCTGTCATTATATTTATATAATACTAGAGGGATTATGTTTCTCGATTAAGATTCGTTGGCGCAGATGTTAAGCTATTGGCGTCGAAGTAAAGGTCATGGGGTCCACTCGCACTCGTATAATAAGTATTTGTGTACTTCAATTTTTCTGGATCTGGATATGTGTACCAAAGAATGGTGGACGTCAGGCAAATTTTTTGTTATGGTTTAAAGTAAAGTGAAAAGTAAGCCGGTTTTGCTGGCTTTAAAGGTGGCGTCGCCGGGAAATTAGAGAGAATCAAAATCAAAATAATTCATTCATCGACATAAGAAAAATACATTTCATTTGTCGATAGTAGTTTTTTTAATGTACCATCGTTTAGTAATGACGTTCCTCTAACGGAGAAGAAACTCCGTAGATAAGATTTCCAATCGTCTGTGACAGGCACTGGTGCTGGACATGGCGGGCGTGGGCGTGACCTGGGACAACCTGTGGAGTGGTCCAGGGGTGCCCTTCGGCGGCAGCCTCATCATGATGGCGGTAGACACGGTCATCTACGGTCTGGTGGCTTACTGGCTGGACGCCGTCATACCCAGTAAGTTCCGCGAGCTAAAGCATTAAAAGAACAGTGTGGCGAGATTCCTTCCTTCTTCCCCTAATTTTATTCTAGTCCTGTTACTATAAATCAAACTAATTTTTCGGATTTATCGCGTTTATTTTTTAATTCCCGTCGCTCCGAACCCTTTACAGCGTTCACGGTCACGGTACAGACTTCGTAAAAATCCGTAAAATTAGTTTCATTTATAAGGTAATGCTTAATCGCGTAAATACAAGAAATAGTCCTGTTACTTCAATTCGATTTTCGTTATCAATACACCTTTGTAGTATTTGCAATGAGTATGTATATAAATATTTATGGATTGTGTGACTTAATGCATTGATTCACACACTGAAAGAGGAAAGTTTAGTAAACTCCAGTTTAGAGAAGAGCTAAAATAAGATTATATTGAATAAAGTAATTTTTGACTTTGAGTTTGATATCTCACTTTTCCAATAGACCCTTTCTACCTCACTCCGTTGCAAATTATATCTCATTTTGCAATCGAACTTCTAGAACCGTCTCTCTACTTTACGCCGTTTCGATTGCAGGTGAATACGGCATCAAGCAGAAGCCTTGGTTCTGCCTCATGCCGTCCTACTGGTTGGGCAGCCGGAGGGGCAGGGTCTCTGCGGTGCACTTCCATTCCAACGGCGAGGCTGCCCACAACAAGGATATCGAGCCGGTTCCCAGGTTAGCGGATAAAAAGACTTTACGTGAGGAGGTGGCTAGCAACAAACATTTTTCCCTGTACAACCATTTTGAATAGTTTTTTTTTTTTTTAAATAGTTGACAACCCTAGTCGAAGATCCTCCAGTTTTAAAGCAGCTAAGTCACTTACTGTAGGTACCAAAAGTATACTTATGTATAAGTTCTTCACGCTGGTTTTCTTTTAGGCTGTAAGTATTATAAAAACGTAAGTTTGTTTGTTCATTTGTACGAGTATGTGATGGATATTCTCTCTCTTTCTTTTTTAGTGAAAAGGTCTATAAGGAAAATATTTTGAGTACGACGACGCATGAAAAAGTAAAGTAAAGATTTATAGTATTTTGAGTGAACCATATCATTTGTCAACAAATTTCAATAAATCATATCATGTGAAAAGAAAAAACTATGTACACATAAAAATTACACCATATTCCCTTCTCAAACTTGTTTACGTCGTACTTTGTCTTTCATAAGAGTATCAAACACCATAAACAAAAAAAAAAACTAACGAAAGCAGACATTGACTTTGAATTTTACATAGAGCTTAAGAAGCATCCTGAAGAAGCAAAAAAACAAACGAAATCACCACCCTTTGACTTTGAACCTTACAGAGAGCTGTTAGACAAGGAAGCGATCAGGATAGTGGGCCTGCAGAAGAGCTTCCGCCACTGCCGGAAACCGGAGATCAAGGCGATCGACGGCATCGACCTCAGCATCTACGAGGGTCAGATCACGGCCGTGCTCGGCCACAACGGCGCTGGGAAGTCCACGCTGTTCAACATACTCACGGGACTCACGGCGCCCACCGCTGGCACCGCTTACGTGTATGGATTGGATGTAAGGTGGGTTTGCGATTCAAATGAGAATAGGACTGAGCTCGCGCCATCTTGTGACGTTGTTAATTGCTAATAGCGGGATTTTTTTCGTGCCATGATGATTACTCTATAAATTTATAATGCAAAATTTGCTTCCGCATGTTTAATTTATAAATCGTACGGTATTGTAGAGTAATGGCTGTATGATGTACACAGCTTGCCCTCGGAAAAATATCGTATTGGGTGTCATCAATGGGAACTAAATAAACTATTGCTTAGAGACGTACAAAAAGTTGCCACTTACTTTATGATTAACTCGAGCAACCTTAGTTCTATCCCTGGTGCCGGCACCAATGAAATTGTTAATTTTAAGTGCTGACTTATCACGTGATCAGCGGTAAAGGAAAACATTGTGACAAAACTTGCATATTTTCGAAATGGTAAACAAAATTGTTAATACCCTCTGTACAGAAGAAGCATTTGCCCAGCAGTGGGACATATATAGGCTGTAAAAAGTAAAGTAAAGTAACAGCCTATACATGTCCCACTGCTGGGCAAAGGCCTCCTCTATACAGAGGGTATCAGGGCGCAGTCCACCACGTGGCCCCACTGCGGATTGGCGGACTTCACATATCTTCGAAATATATTTTTTTTGTTTATAATTTCGAAAATATGCAGGTTTCCTCACGATGTTTTCCTTCACCGCGGAGCTCGTGATAAGTCAGCACTTAAAGTCAAAAACTTCATTGGTGCCGGCACCGGGGATCGAACTCAGGTTGCTCGAGTATATTGAATTAAAGGCGAGCGCCCGGACACTGAGCTATCACGGCTCGCAATATATACTGTATGCTGTTACTGTTACTTAACTATAATCGCGGAAAGGAATTTTTACAGAATTTCAATATACGACGGTGACATGATAAGGACATGGCTTTTAGTCTCATGGTTTTCAGTGCGGTTGGACCCACACTGTAGTTTCTGTTCAGTAGTGGGCAGGTTCCACGTGGAAGTACCACACAGACCGACATGAAGTGAAAGTCTTATAGTTTTATGTCTCGTCCAGCTAACCAGGCCCACTCTTTTAAAGGTGGTGACAACCACTTCAGGTTATACACCTTATGTTAAGCGATTGGCACTTTCGCACATAAAATTTCAACTACTTTTAATAATCTTACTATTTTTAATAATCATAAATTGAAAACGCTTCTTGAATAAATAAAAGATTTTAAATTTATTTCCAAAGAGGCCAAACTGCAGTAGTTTTATCCTGTTCGGCCGTCCTCCCCCTCTACTTCCCAGCACATTTCCAACACCATTTATTACATTTGAACATACCACCTACAGGGACCCCAACGACATGCACGAAATTCGCCAGATGATCGGAGTGTGTCCCCAACAAGACGTGCTGTTCGATTTGCTGTCTGTCAAGGAGCATCTACAGTTCTTTGCCGCAGTAAAGGTAAGTCAGATGAAAGTTGTTTTTGCCGGATTTAGAACAGTAGAGTAGAAATTAACATAATAACATAAAGGCAGAAAATCAGACCAACAACGCCGGTCGAATTGCATTGTTACTCTGAAACAGCTTTTATGTTTTTTGCCACGTTACGTATTTCTAATCAACAATCTGTAATTACATTTAGAAGCTACTGTGACTTATTTTGTTGATTTACTTTTTGAAAATGATTTACATTCTCCCTTGCTCGCAACTCGCTGAAGATTCTAAATTAGTTCTGAAAAAAGCAGTTTAATAATTCGTTATACTTTCCGTAATCCATCATAGTTAGCAGTTATTAGTTAATCTGTCTCGTGACCATGAATGCTTACTGCTTATTGCTTTGGGTGTTGAAAAACATGGTATAAGTCCGATTACGTTTGACGTATTCCATATAATAAATTACCACAAGTTCTATCATTAAGTATTTCATACGTGAAAACAAATGACTCATATTTTCATTTCCTGTATTTATGTAAGGACGTGCTATTAATGTTTCGTGAGCTGTATGTAAAATAATGTCCAAAAGACTATACGAGAAATCAGTGATAGGCTATCACTGTTCTTATAGGGTATCCCTCGCAAACGTCTACCGGAAGAAGTACACAAAGCGATGTCGGAGGTTGGCCTTTTGGAGCAGGCGGAGGTCTTCTCGAAACATCTGTCTGGAGGTCAAAAGAGGAAACTAAGCATAGCGATCGCGTTCATCGGTGATCCAAAGGTGATTTCTAGTCTTGTAATGAAATAAAATTCAAAACAGAATTCGACCGGCAAATGGACTAACGAAGTGATAATATCGAAAGTTCGATAATATATCGTTCATAGCCGCTTAAACATAAGACAGATATATACTCATATTTAAAATGTTCTTGACGTACCTGAACTAACTAACAATTTTAATATCAGCCAAGCCAAGTCATTTTATTTTCAGCTTTAAAAGGCTTTTCCTTTTTGAAGATAAATTAGTTAACGAATCACTTGAAAAGAATAATTCGTCTGTCAATTTTACAAAGAGAGGCATAAGACTAAAAAAATTCGCCTTTTTGTTGCGTGTACAAAATATGTCCAAACATTAATTTTACTGTTTTATGTATCTCGATTGATTTGAAGTAAATCACGATTTAAAAAAATATTTAGCCAGCACTAGTGACTACTTAAGGCATTGAATTCCTCTCTAGATAATTATCCTGGATGAGCCAACCGCTGGGGTGGATCCGGTATCCCGGCGGCAGACGTGGAGAATCCTCCAGCGCGCGAGGAGGGGCCGAGTTCTGCTTCTAACCACGCATTTCATGGACGAAGCTGATATTCTTGGCGACAGGAAAGCCGTCATCAGTAAAGGAAGGGTAAACACAGCGAACTTGTTTAAAACATTGATTAGATCCTCGTAGGTAGAAGGTTCCAGCATATGATGAACAGTTGTTCAGTTGAGCCGTGTTAGCTCAGTGTCCGAGCGCTCGCTATCCATTCGCAATTCCATATACTCGAGCAACCTGAGTATAAATACCGATGCTGAGACCAATTCTTAATTTTAATTGCTAACTTTACGTGCTCAGCGGCGAAGGAAAGCATCATGGAGATCTTCATATCTTCATTTCATTAATTCATGAATTCCTATAGTATGTGAAGACTGCCAATCCGCAGTGGGGTCGTGTGGTAGACTATGACCTAATACCCTATGAAAAGAAAAAACCTTTATCCAGCATTGTGATGTATTGAGGCTGTTACTTTTAATGCGATGGTTATCCTCTACTTTGTCTAATGCTTCGCACAAGATCGAAGAACTTTACCTCACTTGTCCATTAATTGAAAAGCGCTGAAATGCGTCCAATTAAAAATTAATTTATTACCAGAAAGTATTGCTCAAATTTCTACACACGATCGAAGGTAATCCTCGGCTTTCTTACTGTGCCCAACAACGGATCGCTGCTACCGCTGGATTCGTACCTGCAACATCCGGAAAGCGCGCATTTTTGAAAGGGGAAATTTACCGAAAAAAGTTTTATTTAGATTATTTACATTCCAATTATTCCACAATTTATGGTTCACCTTAGTGTAGTGACTATCCAAATGTATTAAAAATAAAATTAATTAAAAAAACTTGATATCTCAATTAAGAACTCTGGGAAACCATGGTAATGAAAAAAATAGTTTGTAGTAGTGAAAACATACATTAATATATAACCTCACATACTAAATGTCTCTGGACTTCACCTAAATTTTTATAAAAATTAAAAGAATTTACAACACAACATTATAATTGACCTTCTATTTAATAAATTTATTTCATAATTTAAACATAAATAGCCTGTTTATCATTTTTTTCAGGTTCGCTGTGCGGGAACCTCGCTGTTTCTTAAAAACAAATTCGGAATCGGCTACCATTTGACCTTGGTTTTGGACGGTAAGATACCGTGTCTTGATTTCATCAAGACAAACTTGAACATAATATATATTTATTCCGATATTGATCCTTGCTTCCTCGCTTCTTTGAAACAACCTGTTATTAGTCAATGCAAAAGCAAAGCGTTATAATAAGTTATAATATGTTTTTTCAGAAGATTAAACAAGTTATAGATAATATAAAGTTAAAGCAAATCGAGGAGTCATTAAACAAAAACAATACAATACTGGCCAAAACATTACAATAAATAGCCTCTCGCCGTCCACTGCTGAACGTACGACTTAAAAGAAAATAATAGCCTAATTAAAGGATAAAAGACTTTGCTATGAGGCCTAAAAGCGGACACGGTTCATCCTCCGGAGTGTTCTCGTGCGCTGCCATGCAAGGTATCTTTGAACACCTCCCCCACCCCTCCCCAAGTAAAAAGAAAGAAAGAAAATACATTTACATTTCCTGAGGTGTTCTCATTTAAGGTATCTTTGAACTTGAGGGAGGGGCCTCAAGTAGAAATAAAGAAATAAAGAAAATACATTTACATTTCTTTTCTTTCTTTTCTTTCTTTTCTTTCTTTTCTTTCTTTTCTTTCTTTTCTTTCTTTTCTTTCTTTTCTTTCTTTTCTGTCTTTCTTTCTTTTCTTTCTTTTCTTTCTTTCCTTTCCTTTCCTTTCCTTTCTTTCTTTCCTTTCTTTCTTTCCTTTCTTTCTTTTCTTTCTTTTCTTTCTTTTCTTTCTTTCTTTCTTTTCTTTCTTTTCTTTCTTTCTTTCTTTCTTTCGATCGTTGTTGCGCGCAGGCGCATGCCGCGAGCACCAGATCACGCGGCTGGTGCGCGGGCACGTGCCGCGCGCGGAGAAGGCGCGCCGGCACGGCCGCGAGCTCTCGTACATCCTGCCCCACTACGCGGTGCACCTGTTCCCGCCGCTCTTCCACGCCATAGAGTACGAGATCAAGGAGAGGGCCAACCGGCTGGGTGAGTGGAGCCGCGGCGGAGTGCTGCTGCGGCACAACGCGGCCTCGCAGTCGCGTTTCGAAACACATAGGCTATAATATAGCCGAGGTGTCAGTTAGTAAGCAGAAGGGCTAATAAATTCACACCAGAAGAAAATTCACATAATTCGCAACATTCGAAACAATGACAGTGTCCTACAAGTCTCCTCAACCTCTCATATGTATAAATTTCGAATAGATATGTTTACAATTGACGACCCAAATGGCGTAGTGGGTAGTGTACCTGCCTCCTGCGCCATAGGGTGTGGGTTCGATCCCCACTACTGGAAAAATATTGTGTGATGAACATAGTGTTTTTCTAGTGTCTGGGTGTTTAAATATTGAGTTACACGATCTACTACCGATATTCAGTTCCTGAATCATCTATTACAAAACAGTGGAAGTGAATTTAGTGATAGTGAAAATTATAATAGTATGGTTAACCCAAAAAGCATTGGTGTAGGGAACATAGCATTCTTTGTAATAGTGGTATCGTGTATTGTACTTTTAGCTTTTAAGAATAATTAGGAAAATATGTAATCGTATTTTAGGAAAAAATCGGGATCTCCCCACCCTGCGGATAATCGATCCGTTACACGATCTACTCCCGTTCCTGGTCCTTTGTTCCTCAATAACGCGTAGTTAGCTTCCGCGGTTCCCACGCATCGTATGTCGACTCCGACCGTATACGCGAAGTGGAATGTTTCGACGATGACGAAAATGCAGAGGCAGCAGTTCCAGCCCTCGATCTTTTAGTGTTAAATTTAGTCGTAAGGACAGTCTGTATTAAACATCCGATTGTATCACTCACTTGTAATTTTTAATTAACATTAAATATTAAAAATCGATTTAGTGTCTTTTTAAAAAGCAAGTTGCGCCTTCCTCAAACTTGACTGGCGCAGCCGGTAGGATTTTCCGAAAGTTTCGCTAATATATACGGTCGCGTTCGCCCCAAACTTGGCGAAAATTCGAAAAACCGTTTTACGCGTACGAGGAAAATCCGTCGAACCAAAAATAAAATTCGTCTCCCGGGGAAGCGCGCAAATTGGGTGTCGGAGCAGACTCAGGAGGACATGGGACCGAGCAGAACAGCGTGAGTAAACCTTTTCACTTCCTGCAATTTCCTTTGTCTTTTCCAACATAATATCGCATTATAATTTGTAGAATCTAAGTATTAATTTTATTTGATTTTGATTTACACAAAATAGGTAAATCGCTTAGCTTACTACCATATCTTTACGCAATTGGTGCTGTACTATCCCAAGGACCTATAGGCAGCGACAAACCGGTAGCTTACGCGAGCCGTACTTTGAATGACGCAGAAACACGCTACAGCACGATCGAAAAGGAATTCCTAGCGATAGTGTGGGCCACAAAACATTTCAGACCTTACCTTTACGGACAAAAATTTATCATATATACCGACCACAGACCACTTATGTGGGCCAAGTCAATATCAGAACCGAATAGCAAGTTAACAAGATGGAAACTGCGGCTTGCGGAATTTGATTATGAAATAAAACATAAGGAAGGAAAACAAAATAGTAATGCCGACGCTTTATCAAGAATCAAGGTGAACGCGTTAAGTGAAGACGACGACGCGTCAATGCAGGTGAACGTGGATAAAAAGGAGCAAAAACTCAAACGCTATATTGCTGAATTAACTAGTGAAATAGAAAAATTGAATCAGAGGAATGCAGCATCTACGTCACATGAAAGCTCACCGACCCCGATAGAAATTTCATCCGACTCCGATGAGAATACCTTATCCATCCAGAGAAAGAGTAGACAATATCCATACTCCATACCGACTACAAGTAGTACTGCAACTGCATCTGAAGGACGAGATGATATGAGTACCATAGATACAATTCATTCAGCAAAAGATCTTGATACAGATGGTATGCTTATATTACAGGAAGTCATAGATACCAAACCAAACTAAATACTCGTACATACATGGAATAGAAATAAAATATCCGTTAAAGACTTATCTAAGGATAAGCAAAAGGTCCTAGAAATCCACCTACCCCTGGACAACCCAGAACTAATTAAAGGATTTCTGAAAAGCTATATAAGACCCAAAATAAAATACTTTCCTTACTTCGAAGACCCACAGCACCGCAAACAGTTCTCAGAAGCAATATTGAAACTTTTTCAGAAAGGAACGGTAAAATTCTACGAATGCACAAAGAGAGTAATATATGTGGACGACGAACAGGAACAGCGCGACATCATAATTAAATACCATGCAAGCAAGAATAGCCATAAGGGTATAAAGGAGACTTTACTGCACCTTAAACGTACGTTCTACTGGAATAACATGAGTCAGACAATAGCTAGCATTATTGATGCATGTGAAGTTTGTAGAAAAATGAAATATGATCGTAAACCACTGAAACCGGAATTACAATTAACACAAACACAAAATAGACCATTCCAAGAGTTATTTATCGATATCTTCTCGATTGACGGAAAGCAGTATCTCACAATCGTGGATGCCTTTAGTAAACTAGGTCGATCGATCGAAATTAACAACAAGTCCACACCTGAAGTTATTAGAGCCTTAATAAAGTACTTTTCTTTATACGGAACACCCAATAGAATCAGTTCAGATCCTGGTACTGAATTCAATAACACATTAATGAAGGAAATGCTCTCTTTTTATAAAATAGATATCCACATAGGCACTCCTCATAACCCAAACTCCATGGGGGTGTAGTCGAGCGATTTCACTCCACCATCATAGAAATATATAGGATTGCCAAATATGAACAAAAGATAACAGATGCTGCATCAGTTATGGCATACGCCATAATGTCCTATAACCACACAATACATTCTACAACGGGTCTCACCCCATTTGAAGTAGTTTTTGGCCACACGGAATCAAATAACGTATTTCACGTCGATTTCAACAAGCAATTTACACAACAACTCGTAAAAGAACATGCCCGACGAACGAAATACTTATACAAATATCTCACAGATAAGATCATAGACAAAAAACAGACGAAAAAAAAGAAGCGAGGTGGTGATACAAATTTCGACATAGACATAGGTGACACAGTGTACATAAAAGGGGTAAACACTAGGTGCGGCAAAGATAAACCACGGTATCAAATGGCTCAAGTTACTGGAGTCATAGAACGTAACGTGGTACCCATCACTACGAATAATAGGAACACCAAGGTACCTATTAAAGATATCAAACGCCCTCCGCAGGTTACTCCTTCTGGTGGTCCAGACGGGAGCCTTTCTTCTACACCGGATTGACAAGAACCCCGGACTACTACCTATTAAAGAAGGACAAGCCCTGGTCAGCCATGACGATTGGACACTCATTAAAATTTTAGATTTAGAATTATTATATGAGGAACTAGAATCCAATATGAATAGTTACGTAAAGTTAAAAAGCCAGATCAAAAACTGTTTTGATAGTAGAATATTAGATTCGGCCCTTTCCGACGTCGAAACACAAACCGATTATGTCATGAACATAACTATAGAAAAATTTAAACAACTAAACCCGTCAATAAGATCTAAGCGTGGTTTGCTAAATCCCCTTGGCTCATTAATTAAGACAATCACTGGCAAACTTGATAACGATGATGCTGTAAGGTATGAAAAATTAATTCATGATGTTCAGGCGAAACAAAACACTTTAAACAGTAAAATAACAATCGTCGCTGAAATGTTGGGTTCATTCTCAAAAATAGCAAATTCTACCAAAAGTAATTTTGTAAAAATTGAAGAAAGCATTGAAGATATTATTCACAAATTAAACGAATCAAAAGTTTTACAATCGATTAATAGAGTTGTCCATATCTATAATGCTTTCCTCAACCGATTTCAAACTCTCTATCTAAGGCTAAATGAAATTGAAACGGTCATTGCTTTTGCCAAAGTAAACCAATTACACCAATCAATAATACATACAGACGAACTAATAGCATTATTAAGAAAAATTGAGAAAACCGACAAGCTTGTGTTTCCAGCTAATATAGAGAATATAGTAAGAATAGAGCAATCTATAGAATTAAAAGCCTACGTAAAACAAAATCAGATAAAATTAATCATGCAAATTCCTCTAATCAGAAATGATGTCTTTAACTACTTTAAATTGATTCCCGTACCTATCTATAATACCAGAAGCGACCTTTCCTCCCTCATTAGTCCTAAATATCCTTATATCCTTGTGAAAGGGTTGAAAGCAATGCCACTCTCCCAGCCATGCAGCGAGATCGATGAAGCCCGCTTCCTATGCTTCGAAAATAATATACCACCGATGGAAGATGACTGCATCACTGATCTCATGAAGTTTTCCACAAACATTACTTCCTGTCAGCCAGTATCCGTGACCATAAATAACGTAAGAACATACCTGATACAACCAAACCGATGGATTATTCATGCTAAAACAGAAACACTGTTGACCAAGTATTGCAACGACGAAATTTCACAAGAACCTGTTTTCGGAACTTACCTATTAACCATAGACGACGACTGCGAAATTGGAATAAAAGACCTCAAGCTGAAGAAACGCCAAAATCGAGGAAAAGAAATATCTTATCCGAAGTTCCCAAATATCCAGTTAACGACAATTCAAGCAAACCCAACGCCTGGTCTCCAGAAACCCGTAAACCTAAACAGAGTGGACCTTGCCGATATTCAGTTCCTGAATCATCTATTACAAAACAGTGGAAGTGAATTTAGTGATAGTGAAAATTATAATAGTATGGTTAACCCAAAAAGCATTGGTGTAGGGAACATAGCATTCTTTGTAATAGTGGTATCGTGTATTGTACTTTTAGCTTTTAAGAATAGTATTAGGAAAATATGTAATCGTATTTTAGGAAAAACTCGGGATCATCCCCACCCTGCGGATAATCCCGATCTTGCGGAGGGAGGAGTTACACGATCTACTCCCGTTCCTGGCCCTTTGTTCCTCAATAACGCTTAGTTAGCGCCCGCGGTTCCCACGCATCGTAACGCGAAGTGGAATGTTCCGACGACGACGAAAATGCAGAGGCAGCAGTTCCAGCCCTCGTTTCTTTTAGTATTAAGTTTAGTCGTAAGGACAGTCTGTATTAAACATCCGATTTTATCACTCACTTGTAATTTTTAATTAACATTAAATATTAAAAATCGATTTAGTGTCTTTTTAAAAAGCAAGTTGCGCCTTCCTCAAACTTGACTATCTATAATATGTATTTATTTACCAAAAAAAAAGTATGTTTAAGTATGTTTATCAGTTTTCTAGTACCCATAATACAAGCGTTGCTTAGTTTGGGACTAGAAAATGTTTTGAAAAATGTGTCCTAAAATAATTTAATTTAATTTAATATAGTGCATAGATCAAGTAGATGTTTTACCCTTTCATCTGCAACGAATAATCAGGCATAGAAAGACGATAACAAATTACTTATTTTTTGTTTGTATTACGTTTGTCCAGGCATTACTAGCTACGGCGTTTCCATGACGACCCTGGAAGAAGTCTTCCTCAGTCTGGAAGGGGAGAACGCGGAGGAAATAGATGCCGTGGAGGGAGTATCATCTGTGAAATTGGTGCGAGCGAGAGCTCTGTCAAGGAGTCTGTCCCTACAAAGCAAGACGCTAAGCTATCAGGTAATGAGCTGATGGGATCAGAAATTGTGATATCAAATACTGCCTATCAGACCTATCAGATTACAGAAACGAGGCTTTCCGTGTCGCAGACACTGTCTTGATAAGTCCTTATAAGTTAATATCAAATAAAGGACTTGCAAATATATTGTTGTTCCACTTAGTTTAAGATAAAATGTAGCCTCTTTCTTTCTCCTGACTATATTCCACCAAGGCGGGGTAGGCATAACTTGTGAATCTTGTTTTTAAAAGCTCTGTTATATTTCGATCGGACGCCTACCTGACATCAACCTATCATCCATCATCTCCTTGGGAACAAACACCCGGTTACTATATTTAAACAAGCCAATAGCTTGATATACAATACTGCATCATACAATATATACAAGACTGTATCACGTGTACCATATAACTCCTACTGTTCGTATACTTGACAGGAGTTAAACGATAAAGAGCAGCAAAAGACGACATCGCTGCCTACACCACCGGCGTCCCACGCACTGCACTCCACGACACACGGCGTCGAACACGTGAAAGTAATAAAGGTTTTCTTATCGTAAAATTTAGAAGTTTCCGCTGTTGCAAGAATGGGCGGGCTCGTCCGGGGAACTACCACGGCCTCACTGAACACAGGAGTGAAATGAAAGTAAAATTTTTTGAAGGTGCGTAACGCTGCTAATGAGCGGGCTTCACTTAATGTCAATTGAAACGCACTCCTCGCTTTGCACCTTCTGAATAGAATAAAATAACCTAAAAACCTATGCATCACAAAATGTATCATCCCAACGATTATGACACAAGCATAGATAAATACGACAATAATAGAATTCAAATTTACCTAACAGAAGTAAAAATTATTTGCCATAACCTAAGTGAAATTAAAATCAAAGATCATAGTACAGTAATAAACAAACGCCGTGCGGGTGATGCGTTTCGAATTTGCAACAGTAGAATTAAGTATTTGCCATAAAATAACTGGACCGTAAATCAAAGATTGTGTAAGTACAATAACAAACAAACTTCGCTGTCCAGTTGACGCTTTTAGAATTTGAAACAAAAGTAGTAATTATTTGCTAACAATGTTGGCAAAAAAAGGTTTCGCATCTGGGTGTTTGTCCACGTGAAATTTATGTTTGTGAAACGTCCTTACAACACAGGATAATATTATCCTAAAGTAAGGACAATGTTTTAAAAAAAAATAACTTGACTTTAAATCAAAGATCGTGTACAGTAATAAACAAACTTCGCTGTCCAGGTGACACCAGAGGTGCCGGTGTCCGTGGACGCTCTAGGCGAGATGGTGAAAACGAGCCCTTCGTGCTGGCGTACCTTCTGCGCCCTCGTCTACATCCGCATGGTCCGCATGATCCGCGACCCATACAAACTCTACGTCATGATCTTCATGCCTATAAGTGAGTGCGGATTGTCTGCTTGGAACTGATACGTCTAATAATAACTACAGCTTGATCACATCTATGGTGACTCTACTAAGTATAGCACAAGCGTTTTGGATCTTAGTATCGATTTTGTTCACGAATCTATATTGTAATTTATTGCACACCACGATTGCTCCTCACGGCGCGAGTTGACTGATAGAGAATGACAATAGGCATTAAGTCCGGCCTTTTTAACGTGTTTATAAAGTGCCAATAAAGATTAAGTAAATAAATACTGCATAATACGATTACTTTATAAACAATTAATTTTTTTATTAGCAAACTAGTTTCATCAGAGTCATAAGGTTTAATAAAGATAACATTAGATAAAACTTTATAGATTAGCTCTTAAAAATTTCGCATTCGTATTTATCATTCCCGGTAAAGAATATTTAAAATTAATATCGATAAACTAGATCGTAATCATTAATAGCCTTTATTTCAAACTGAAATTGACTAGTAAAGATCGTATAACTTTGATGTAATAACTGATTAAGAGGCCTTATTTCTATAACTGTTCGAGATATTCATTTTAGATCATATTATTTTTTCTCCAGTTTCCTGCGCGCTGGGCCTGTACATCAAATCGCGTCAGATAGTGTTTTTCCGAATGCAACCGCTGAAATTGGACCCCAACGCGTATTTCAATAGGACTCCAATCGCGCTGCATAGCGAACAGGATAACATAAAAGAGCTCGCCGACTTCAGGGACTCCCTAGACATTTTGGGCGCCAACCCTATCGTGGACTTCGATGGGAACTTCTCGAGCCTTCTGGACATGGAGAATTTCGGCGCATTTAGCTTGAGGGACAGCGTGATACCGTACGGAAAGATAGTGGCCTATTACAATAGCACGTACACCCACAGCCTGCCCATCATAATCAATTTATTGGACAACAGTATTTATAGGTGAGTTAATAAAGAAAAAAAAACATTCAGTATCGACACACAGAAATTAAAAATCATTGCACAAAATTCATTTACTAATTAACGATTACACATAACATAAACTCCTCACTGCTGTATCTATTGTCAATTAAAACATCAATTTATAACATAGGCCGTAACGCTATGGTCCCATGAATTACCCAGATTTTCTGGGTCTGAAATTATATGATACTTATTCGGTCCCTCATTAACCATAGCTTCTTACCGCTTATTCCTCATGAAAAAATAACTACATAGCAGTTCACCCCGTGGTAACTGTTCAATACGCATGGACATCAAGATTTGCAAGCCTTTAACAACGTAGGACTTCCCGCTCAAAGGACGAAATGTAAAACCATAATTATACTTTCACAGGCATCCTTCTGACAGGCCGTACTTCTTCAAACAAAATGATGTGGTGTCGTGGGACACCAGGTTATGTAGAACCTCGGCTAATGTAGAAACCACTCGGCTAATGTAGAATCGACACAAATTGCAAAAAAAATCGTGCTCAATTTTATGTAGGTTTTCTTGATTTTTCTCTTAAATTTTGCTGATTAGTTTTTATTTAAGTACAAGAAAGTATTTAGGAAATTCAGTATTTTAGGATATAATAAATTACTTAAAATAAAAAAACATCGTAATTCAAATTATCAACTAAAATAACACAATATGTCTCTTTATTTTTGTTTGACAACATAAAATTATGCGACTGTCGCGCCTGCGCACGTCTCATTTAACGGTTTTATTCCACGCACTTTTTTCCACGGATTTTTTCTTACGGTTTTACTATCACATTTTTTTCAGTTCGGTCGCGCAGCAAAATCCCTATCCCCTCCAAGCCTGCCGTAAGGAACTTCGTTCCAAAAACTTCAAAACTAAAAACTTCAAACTCGGGACTTTAAAATTCTTTCTTACATCTTCTTTATATATATTTTTTTATTTATCCTTATTGCTTCTCTGATTAACTTTAATTTGAACCCCTTCAACCTCCTTCTTTACCCAGGGTTTTGATGTCGGCCTCGAACCAGCTGGCCAGTTTCAACCCCATAGAGGTCCTGGCGCACCCGTTCCAGCAGACGGAACAACAGGAGGAGTTCAATCTAGGCAATATGGTCTGCGCAATCTTCATGGGGATGATCTTCGCTCTGGTGCCGGTGACCTTGGCCGTGGACATTGTATACGACAGAGAGGTGAGTAGACGGCGGAAGTGTATAAAAGTTTCGCCGTTTGAGTGTCTTATTCTGAAAGAAAGAAATAAGAAATAAAATACATTTATTTACCAAAAAAAGAACACTCACAATAAAATAGAAAAAAAAACTAAAATATAACAATTCAGTAAAGCAAAAGAACACAGATACATAATTAAAGTATAAAACAAATTAAAAAGAACTTTAATAAACCAAAAATATTGTATGAATTCTCATTGAAATGCATCGTTTTCCAGATAAAGGCCAAGAACCAGCTGCGAGTAAATGGACTCTCGATGAGCATGTACTTCTTAACTTACTTCACCATCCTGATACTTATAATGGTCGTGACCACCGCTGGCGTGCTGGTGCTGGTAAGTGTATTGACGAATATTCGATAATAATGAAGCAACATATCAAAATAATGACGGCATTTTCTAAGCAGCCACTCCTTTTGAACAATAATTCGAATATTTTGTAGATATAAAGTATAATAGATATAATACATAAGATATAAGTAAAAATATATTATTAGATATATAGATATAAAAGTTTTCAATAAAGATTCATATAAAAGAGCCGAAATGTATTTCTAAGATTCTAACGAAACTAATGCTATAACAGTTATAATGAAACAATTTCTTACTAGCTGTTAACCGAGCCCGTGCAACCAGTGGAGTGCAAGAAGAGCTCACAGATTGCAGAATATTTCCTACTCACTTGACACTTATCGTTATATTTTGGAAAATTCACACAATATCTTCATAAAATATTGCCTATATATTATTCTGGTGTATAAGCTAAGTATACCATTGTAAAGTTTCATTAAAATCCATTCAGAAGTTTTTGCGTGAAAGAGTAGCAAAAATCCATATATCAATACATACAAACTTTTGTGTTTATAGTATTAGTAAGGATAAAGGAGAATGGGCGTATTTTAAGTAACCGGCTCTTTATCCGTTATTCCGATGAAGAGATAGTATAATTTTATTAACTAATTCCATTTCTTCGCGTGTCTCTCTAAAGGTTATCCTCAACGACATTCCGAGTCTCACCAACGGCTCCGCGATCACGATGCTGTCCGGTCTCCTCTTGCTGTACAGCCCGTCCGCCATTTTGTTCAACACGTGCCTCTCCTACGTGTTCGACAAAATGGACTCCGCTCAGAGCATCATGCCCAACATCACCACTTGGGTCGGCGTGATACCGTTCGTCCTTGTTGCCGTGCTGGACACTTTCAAATGGGGTGAGCTTAGACAATTTTATTGGAATAGTTTAGCAAAATCAAAAGAGGGAAAGAGAGGTATACATAACGATATATTCTAAGCAATTTAAGAACTTTGCAGAAGCGGAACACTATCTTACAATTTACCTCTTTATTTAGGCATTACAACTGTAACTATCTGTTATTTTTCTCATATTAAGGATTATATGTATAAATGAAGGTAATCTTGTAGATATAAAACAGGTATGTCAGAAAGTTACGGATGCAATGGGAGAAATGTTATATAATATCAACGAAAGAACTTTTAACGAATTTGTGATATCTAACTGTAGAATACGATTTTTGTGTGATTAACGCGGCCTATGGATATCTACTACATCATATGGGTTGCATATGCGTTTCCAACTTATCGAAAAGTGGGCTCCGGTTACTTAAATCGCCAAAAAAAATTTGGTAAAGTATGATAGTTCCGATTTCCGCCGATTCTCTATTGCTGGGCAAGCCTGTCCTTTAGTGCAACAGCTGGAGAAGCTGCGCCTTGAGAAACTGTGCGCCTCCTACCTCTATCAAAAGATTGATTATCCTCTATCTATTCAATTGATAACATTATGTGTAAATTAAATCAGCCAGGGTTACTTAATGTGTTTAGAATCGCTACCAGGCAGGTCACTTTTAGAAATCGGCCTATCCCCAGATGAACGGCCTACCCGTTTGACAGTCAGATTAAAAATCTTATAAGTGAGTTCCATCAAAACCATAATGTCATCAAAAGTACAACATTTTTACAGGCAGCGACATAGCGTTCTACCTTCACCTGGTGTTCAGTTTCCTGGATGTGATGTACATACCTTACGCCATCATATATTACGTGGACAGGTAAGAACTATTTGAATCCTCGCGGAAAAATCTTAAATCAAATCAGAATTAATATAGAAATTATTGATATTGTGATCTTTGATAGTCGTGTAGTCAGTATTATAGATTAACTAAGTAAAAAGTGAAGAAAGTATACGATATCACATATAAATATATATGTAGTGTCAGTAGTAGTGGATTTCCCTACATAAAAAAAATGTCAGTAGTAGTAGACAGCCTCGTTCATTTCATTATTACGAAAAAAAACGAAAAATTACATATTTAAACGAATTAGAGTCCCACTATTTGCAATATACAGTGTATGCAAATAGTGATTTCAAAATCGATGGCTAATTAAACTCTCAAAAGAACCTGATATGATTCAATCCAGCTCTAATTAGTCACGATTACTAAATATCTATAAAAAATCTATATTTAAAGCAAAAGACAATTTAAAGTCCAGAATTTTGTGATAAACATTGACCTGGGAAAATGAACAAAGATGTACTAAAAGACAGTGTATGACTCCCTAGCGCCGTTGTCAAAATATCGGCTTCGGCACCGGGGGTCCTGGGTTCGACTCTCACACGCGACAACTATTTGTGTGAACCACAAACAGTTGTTTCGTTTCCGGTTTTGGTTCCCGTGAAATTTATGTTTGTAAAACACTTACAACACAGGATAATGTTGTCTTACAGTACTGTAGGGCTTATTTTTTTTAAAAAAGAAACAAAGACAAAAGAACAGAAAACAAAAATATAGACAGTAAATTCAAATACCACCACATCAATTTAGCACGAAGGAACGCTCGACCGTCTAAGGCGCTTTAAGTTTTACTGACACACCTAACGTGATGCAGAGTGTACCTGACGTGCAACTTGCGCGGGCTGTGCACCACGCCGGAGCTGTGGAGCTACTTCACGGCGGAAGTGTGGGTGCTGATAGTGGCCATGATGGTGCACGTGCCGCTGTGCGGTGCCGCGCTCCTGGCGGCGGACAGGCTCAAGTCCGGCGGCCGGATTTGTCCGGTGAGCCCCCCATCCTGACGCCCCCTGATGGGAACATCAAAACAGATCGAATCATTTATTCATCGGAGTAAGACATTTCATGCATCGATATTCATTTTTTCCACTATGTAATCTACCACCGTTTCGTAATCGGTTACTTTAAAGGAGAAGAAACAGGCGAAAGGAACTCAGTAGGTGTGGTCTATTTGGTCATTTTTTCCCCTCAAAATTTTATGCTTAATGTTAATTATACAGTATCTTCTAAATGCATTTCGTAATATTGCTACGACCTTCGGTGACAGCCAGTACAGTTACACGTACGACGATGTTATTTAAATAGTCTGAGTCTTTTAGAGCAGTTTTTTTGAAATATCGTACGATTAAAACTTGTGGAAAGGTACAAAAAGATTGTCGCCGGTGTGGGAATCGTAATTTGTATGCTGGAAAGGATATAATAATAGATGCGCCAAGCATTGCTTCAATTGTTATTTACAATGTAGATAAAAGACGTTAACATTTTCGTCGGTATGGCAATCAGCCGTTTAGCTTAGTGGCTAAAGCGTCAGGCAGCGAATGCCGAATACGTGGGTTCGATTCCCACAGCGGCGACAATCTTTTCGTACTTTTTTCTACAAGTTTTAATGTTTAATCTTAAGTGCAGAGTTTAGCACTATGAAAAACTTTAAATATCGTACGATTTTGATAGATTTGATTTACGGTGATCGGGCCGCGGAACAGTCTCCGCTGTTGCACGAATGGACAGGTCCGTCCGGGTAAGTATCACGGCCTCACAGAAGACGGCCGTGAGGTGGAATTGTTATGCTTCTGAATTTCGTCTGGTGAGTGAGGTAGCCGATGTCCCACTTTATTTGAGGTGGCAACGCGTCTGCAACCCTACGGGTGTTGCAAATGTCCATGGGCGGTGGTTCTCCCTTACCTTCAGGTGAACTGCCACATTCTCAAATAAAAAAAAAGATGTAAGGAAGGAAGATACAAGAAAAAGAACTTATAAATTATTAGGACCCATTACATTCATTTACGTCGATGTTTGTTATATGTTCCGAGCCTTTTTGAGCTGTTGTTTTGGAATATTTTATGACTTTTTCAGAAGAGTCCTACGACTCAGAGCGCGCTGGACGCGGAGTCGGAGGTCGGCGGTGAGTTTGGCGAGGACGAGGACGTGAGGAGGGAGAGGCGCCGGGTCGCCAGCATCCTGCACCAGCCTACACAGCACGCGCCGGTGCTGGTCGTTCACGTAAGTCTCTCTCATAGAAGTGAAAAAAGAGAGAGAGAGATAGCGTGGTAGGGCCACGCCCTCATGTTTACGCGAAGAGTATAAAAACATATGGAGCCTGCGTATTTCATATCTTGAGCTGACTAAGGATGTGATAGTGTTTGCAACGAGGACCACAGTAGAACAAGTAACCGTCAAAGCTCAGAAGGTTAGCAAGCTGAAGTGGAGATGGGCTAGCCATAACTCGGTGAACCGATAACCGGTAGGGAAGAAAGATTCACGATTGGCAGCCTCGTACCATCGCAGTGTAGGACGACCCCCCACCTGTTGAAGTGACGACCTGTGCAAGAGTGCGGATGCAGGTCGCTCAGGAAGCTTACTTCGTGATGTGTGGGGAGACCTATGTTCAGCAGGGGACGAATAGTCTGAAATGATGATGATGATGATGGAGGGATTTCATCAACAGAACCTCCGCAAAGAGTACAAGCTGCGGGGCGCCAGCACGTCCAAAGGCGCGGGCTGCTGCGACGGGGAGGAGCCTCTACGGAAGGCTGCCCTCGCCCGACTAAGCCTCGCTGTGCACGGCGGTGAAGTGTTCGGTCTGCTAGGCCACAATGGAGCGGGGAAGACCACGACCATGAAGATCATCACCGCAGAAGAACGGCTTACCTGCGGGACGGTGAGCTAGAGATTTGCTTTCTCGTTTTGATATTGAGTTTGGTGGTCGTAGGTAGGTTAAAAAGCTCTTGATATTCAGAAATTATTTCAGTAAGGTCTTTTCATGATATACGTTTCGTCATCAATATTTATAGTTGTAATTAGACTGATTTTTACTGCCTAAATAAGCTCTTTACTTACTCTTTATTTTACTTCTACTCCTTTCGGCATGTCATATTAGCAGAAATAATTGTTACTGAATTATTCAACCTGTTCTTTGTCTAAATTTTCAATACGCAATTTCAGACACGTAATTAAAGCGACTAATTAGTACTTCTTAGCCTCCAAGACATGAAAATATAAGATCGTGAATTCCTTTGCGACCAGGTGATGCTGGGCGGGAAGAACATCGACGACGCGCAGACGTCCGCGTTCCAGATGCTGGGCTACTGCCCGCAGCACGACGCCCTCTGGAAGAACGTCACCATCCGGGAGCATATCGAGTGCTACGCCGCCATACGCGGGGTCAGCAAGAGCGACACTCCCAGGTACTAATATAATACTTTCTATCTTCTTTTTTCCCATTTCTTTAGAAAAGGAGACAAATAAGCACCTGGTGGTATGTGTTCACCACCGCCCATGGATACTCGCAACACCAGAGGAGTCACAGATGCCTTTGAGGAAGGGAGAGATAAGCAATGGGCTCCCTTTTCAGTTTTCAGTCCGGAAATGCAGCCGACAACCGATACCGCAACTTGGTTGCGCGTGGCACAAAGTTCCGTGAAAAACGCAGTCGTACTTCTCCGTCCGCTGACCTTATGCTGTGGCGGAAGTTACGTCTTTATCACATCCACAGAATAGTGGATTCTTACTTCAACGGGCTTCAAATACGGTTGCACAAAGTTACGTGTAAAACGCAATGTCGTACTTCTGCGTCTCCCACCTTACGCTGTTTTGGAACCTCTTTATTTACCTCTTTATTCACACCCCCAGAATAGTGGAAGTTACGTCTTTATTTACACCCACAGAATAGCGGATTTGTACTTCAACGCGCGTTTCACAAATTTATATCTAAAGCGCAAAGTCGTACTACTGCGTGTCCCACCTTACGCTGTGGTACTTACCTCTTTATTCACGCCCCCAGGATAGTGGAAGTTACGTCTTTATTTAAACCCACAGAATAGCGGACTTGTACTTCAACGGGCGTTTCACAAATTTATGTCAAAAACGCAAAGTCGCACTACTGCGTCTCCCACCTTACGCTGTGGTTCTTACCTCTTTATTCACGCCCGCAGGATAGTGGACGCGTATTTGAACGGGCTGCAGATAATGGAGCACGCGGGCAAAAACGCCGAAGACTGCTCGGGTGGGACGCGGCGGAAGCTGTCGTTCGCCCTGGCCATGGTCGGCGACCCTCGGGTGGTGCTGCTCGACGAGCCCTCTACCGGCATGGACCCGAGAAGCAAGCGCTTCCTGTGGGACACCATATTGGCCAGCTTCCAGGTGACGAGACCTTTTTTAAATAAATGAAGCGACTACAATATAGAAGATAGTGGTCGCTTATACCCTCTTGAAGTATATCTTTGACTACTTACAATTTTTGCTTTTGTTCGTACTTTATGACGTAAGTTAATCGTTGCTTTAATAAGCTAAGTGAATGAATGAATGGATGAATGATGTTTTGCTATCGTAGTGGTAAAAGGAAGGAAGAAATCCATGAAAGCATGCAAAACTCAAGCACTCGTGCCGAAGTTCAGATCAAAAGTTTATGAAGTAATGAAACAAAAGTCGTTTTTTTCTATTTCAAACCGAAAATAACGTCCCCTAATGCCATTTACCCCATGAGTCATTAGTATAATTCTAACTAAAAAGCTTAATAATGGAGAAACTTTAAGACTTTTTTTTTTTTTCAATTTATCTTCCACAGGGTAAAAAGGGTGCCATACTGACGACACATTCCATGGAAGAGGCTGACGCGTTATGTTCTAGGGTGGGGATAATGGTGAAGGGAAGCTTACGGTGAGCATTAACAATTTCATGTCAAAATAATAGCTGAGCGCATATTATACGCTTTATTGAACACCATAAAATATAAACCGTCTGCTCGTTTGGCAACTTTTCGCATAAAAAAAGGCGGTCTTATCGCTACGAAGCGATCTCTACCAAACTTGTGGCTAAAATTATAATATGTTGGGCACCGGTAGGTGGTGTAAATGATAATGTTACATACTAAGATATAAATAAACTAAACAAATATATTACATTCTGCATAATAATAATGTACTAATATCGTAAAACATATCGCCTTTCTGTGATATAACACACGAACCCCTAGCCAGGGTGTTACATGATTATTTTTTATTACGGATGTTACATATGTCCAGGTTTAGTTATTATTTACCAACGATAAGTGAATAACATATGATATATTAATATAATAATTGTTATTCGAAATAAAGCCAATTTTTGCCACGCACCAGTTATCAATAAAACTTTGTAAAACCTAATTACTAATTCAAAATAATCGAACAGCAAAAAATTATGGACTAAAAAGAAGCAACAGTTTTTATATTACAAAGAGTAAAGTGTATTTTAATGATTCGTTTAGAAATTACGGAACCAGATGATTCACTCATTGATCAGATTATCAAATACCACCTTTAGAATATCCCCTTTCTAATGCAAGAAGAATAATTCAAATCAGACAACTTGGTTAAGAATTATCGGTAAATTATCTAATATATCAAATTCTCGTGTCACGGTGTTTGTAATTGAACTCCTCCGTAACGGCTCAACCGATTTTCGTGAAATTTTGTGTGCATATCGGCCAGGGTGGAGAATCGGACGACATCAATTTTTCATCCCCCCTAAATGTTAAGGGTGGTCCACCCCTAAATTTTATTTCTATTTTTATATAATTTTTTTTGTTTTTATTTTTTTTATGATACTGCATACAAAAATACATACAACCGTAAATTTTCACCCCTCTACGCAGACGTTGTCGCGGGCAGCAGCTAGTATTAATATAAAACAATTGAGAACCTCTTTCTTTTTTTTTTTTCATTCCGTTACAAAACGTCGGTAACGGAGCACGGTGATTCCGTTAGGTCCCTTAGACATCGAGGCTTAGAATAAAAATGTCCCCTTTTATTGTTCAGATGTATAGGTTCCACGCAGCATCTGAAGAACTTGTATGGCGCCGGCTATACACTAGAAATGAAGATTGGACAGAATAATCAGAAGGCCTCGGTGAGACAACCATTTCTAATATTGACTGTGTGTTCGTTTGATTTCTATCATGTACCACGAGTAATATTATTTTATTTGGCATAAAGATGACTTATGCCCATATTGCATGGCGTTAAACTGTTCAGTTTTACATTATATGACATATACAGCGTGTCGTTACCATCGCGACAATAAATGAACACACGTCTAACGCTACTTGCCAATAATCATAAAAAAATATTAACGTTAAACCTAATCCATAATTAAAAAAAAATATTTTTCAAACAAACTAATTAAGTAAAAAAGAAACAAAATTTGTAACATCCTATACAACTCGCGTCACAGCGACGTATTACAAGCCTTTCCTTCAAGTGTTTTGTCTCTTTTAAATTCATTCAACCCATTCATATGCTTTGTGACCTTTACAAATGAACTTTACGTTACGCTTTTATAGGTAAGGGTGTTCTAAAATTCTTTGTTTTGGAAAATTTAATAACTCTGTAAATATTGATGTTTAAAGAATTTAAATGTTTAATACAACTTTAAAAAGTTATCCCCTATGCGTGTTCATTTATTGTCGCGATGGTAACGACACGCTGTATAAGTGAATGAGACAGATGATATAGAACGTATGATACGGAAAGAGATACCAGTCTATAGAATTGTAATCTGTACATACCAATTGGCGTAGTTTGAGTGTCTCAGTTTTGGTACGTTAGTGTCATATCTACCTACATATATAAATATAATGTAATTGTAGTTAGCGTCTCTGTATACCCATACCGGCAAACAAAACAAAGGGAAGGATTATTTTGTCAATACATCTTGTATTCTGTTGGCATGGTAACGAGGTTTTACTTAACTATATCAAAATTTCGGGCTAGTAACTTTCGATATCCAATTATTTATATATCATCTTTATTCAGTTTTAAAATTTCTAAATAGGCCAAATGTCGGGTAAGAACGGTTGTCCATTATTGTAATCTATTACTGTACTTAATTGGGTTTATATTACTATTACTTTTAATCTTGTTACCCCTGCTTTTCTCTTTTCAGATGTTGGATTCAGATATGTCGATGAGCTCGTCGCCGCTCAGGTCGAACGAGAACTCGCCGTCATTGGGAGAGGCAGATGAAGGTGTATTTTTCATCTCGCCATTTATACGGGACTGTTTTTAATGAATGTCGCACTCGTCACTCTGTTCAAGCCTAAAAAGTAACAAATAAAGAAGATCAAATGTCTTGGAAAAGCCTTGATCTATTTATTTAAACAACAGTAATGAAATAATCCAAAGAAATCCAGGTTATCCAGCGTAAACGCTATCAACTTACGAAAAATTTCTTTACTCTTTATATTCTGATCTACTTACTTTATGTTTTGGTAAAGAATATGACAGTATTCATTTAACCAGGTAATGCAAAAAGAAATTTGTTATCAAGTCCAATCCACTTACTTTATACGGCATTTTCACGGCCTCACAAATTAAAAATGTTATTTTTTAATGTTTCAATTTAGTTCATTTGTTTTTTCAATAGTTCATTAATTTAAAACATCTGTGCCAAGTATGAACTATGAATGACTTATTATTATATCTTAGAAACAAAACAACAATCCACCCAGATGTCTTTCGTTCAAAAGTAACTCTTAAAACGTTAGTGCGAGATGTCGGTTAAAAATACAAAGCATACGGGTCTTCTCAGTTTCTGACAAATGATTTTCTCCCTGAATGTTCAGAAAACTTGAACGATGCCGCCGCATACGCTGCGCTGCTGGGCTTGTGTGAGGGCGCTAGTTCTCAGACGGTTTCATCAGAAAATTTAGTTTTCAACAAGGCGGCGTTTCAGGGGGATCGGGTGGTGGCTCGGTATCGGCTGAACCGGAAGCGGAGGGCGAGGCGGAGGCGGTCGACGTCAGCATACACACGCCGCTGGTCGCGGGCACACCGCCCCCGCCGCGACAGGCGCACCACAGGTAGGGCCACGCAACAGTCTGCTTTGCTGCACGAAGGGGCGGGTCCGTCCGGGGAAGTACCACGACCTCGCAGAGGACCAGCGTGAAGTGGAAGTGTTATACCCCTTCCTCTGATGAGTGAGGTACCCGGAAGCCCGCTTTAACAAAAGGTAAACGCATCTGTAAACCTACGGGTGTCGCGAATGTCAATGGGTGGGGGCGGCTTTCACTTAACATCGGGTGAACCGCCAGCTTGTTTGCCACCTTCTGACATAAAAAAAGGTAGTGAATGTTGTAATGATATCATGGATTCAAAATTGAGTGTGTAACTTTTAGTGTGGTGCATGATCTGTTTGACTGGACAGAAGCGTTTATACGACGATTTAGATGACACTCTTAAAGCTTTTCTTTTTAATGAAAAATTAGACAAACGGGCCTGAGGCTCACCTGATAAGAAGTGATCACCGCCGCCCATGAACATCTGCAACACCAGAAGGGTTGCAAATGAGTTGCCAGCCTTTAAGAAAAGAATAGGCTTTCGTCTTGAAGGTTCCCAGGCCTTTAAGGTTCGGAAAAACTGTTTAAGGTTGCAAATGAGTTGCCAGCCTTTAAGAAAAGAATAGACTTTCGTCTTGAAGGTTCCCAAGCCTTTAAGGTTCGGAAAAACTGTTTAAGGTTGCAAATGAGTTGCCAGCCTTTAAGAAAAGAATAGGCTTTCGTCTTGAAGGTTCCCAGGCCTTTAAGGTTCGGAAAAACTGTTTAAGGTTGCAAATGAGTTGCCAGCCTTTAAGAAAAGAATAGGCTTTCGTCTTGAAGGTTCCCAGGCCTTTAAAGTTCGGAAAAACTGTTTACAGCTGGTTTCACAGAGTGGTTGTGCGTGGGCGAAAATGCCTTAAAAATCGCGCTGTTGTGGAACACTGAACATTTAGTTGGTGTCGATGTAATTTCTTAACTGTCTTAAAGATGGAATATACCAATATTCATCGCCTTTAGCATACCAATGCTTTACCCAAGGGCGGATCCAGGGGGGGGGGTCATGGGGGTCATGACCCCCTCCCCTGGGCTGGGTCCAGGACCTAGGTGGACCTAATTAAAATTGTTAAAAATAATATTTTCATATATTTTTGCCACAATATAGATTTTATGTAAGTACCTTCAATATTAATATAATATTTTTAACCGACGTCAAAAGAAGGAGTTTCTCAATTCGATTGGTATATTTTTTTCGATGTATGTACAACGATTACGTTGAGATTTATGATCCGATTTACGTGATTCTTCTTTAGTTCGATGTAAAATTGTTGCCATTTTGTCCCATAAAAATTTACCATAGTAGTACCAAGTAGTTTTCATTTTATGAACATTTTTACAATATTTTAATGTTTGTCGTCAAATCTTGCAAATTAAATTTGATCTACTTCCCGGTTACCGGTTGAGCTGAAATTTTGTATACAAGTGTAAATCGCGAGACAATGCAATATTTTTATGATATGGTGCTGATCTGACGATGGAGCTAGAAGGTGGCCAAAGGAACTTCGCAATGAAACGACAGAGCCTCATCGCGTTTCGGTATTTGAATCGTATTGACGAGTAGTTTATCTTTCACTTAGATAAATAAATAAACAAATTAATTAATCTCATAGGTAACCAGGATCTTATGATGGAGCTCCGTCTTCAGCCGTCCATAGATATATGCATAGGGTTGCAGATGCGTTTTCTCCTTACAATAAAGTGGGCTCCGGCTACCTCACTCGCCAGACAAAACGCAGAAGTACTTCACGTCAATCTTCTGTGAGGTCTATTATGTGAAGTTCCTATGACCACTCTGTCATGAAACGACTCAACCCCATCTAGTTGCAGCTCGTTTGAGTAAGAGTACTTAATTTTTAGATGGTTAGCAGGGTCTGATCTGAAGATGGAGCTGGAAGATAGTAAACAAACGACGCAACTCTATTGTGTCTCGGCTCGTTTGATTCGTTATGAAGAGTTCTTTAGTGCTAGTCTAAAGAACTCTGGATGGACCGTTTTTGATGGGTGGTTAGAAGTGGTGGTTTAGTGCACGTGAGTATGCGACCCCATCTTTGGGAAATAAGGTTTGTTCGTTCCGTTTGTTATGAATGTGTATTATGTCTGTGATTAGATGGATGAGCGCTAAATATTATGAATGAATGAATGAATGACCGAATAAATATTTTTTTTTGTTATTTATGATCATTTTTTTAACGTGGACGATGAAATTTTTAGTTTGTGTAAATATAATAAAATAGCCGTTATTTTAGGAGTTTTCATTTGGGTTTATTATACAGCGTGTCTTTACAATCGCGACAATAAATGCACACTCATATAGAGGATAACTTTTTAAAATTGTATTAAAAATTTATATTCTTTAAACATCAAGATTTACCGAGTTATTAAATTCTCTAAAACAAATTTTAGAACATCCTAACGTATAAAACTGTAACGTAAAGTTCATTTGTAAAGGTCAATGTATAAATGTATGAATCAGTCAGTTGTAGTTGTGTAGGATGTTACAAATTTTATTTCTTTTTTTACTTAATTAGTTTGTTTGAAAAAAAATTAATTGTGTATTTCTTTTAACGTTAATATTTTTATATATAAAAATATTATAACCAATACGACTACATAAAATCTGGTAACGAAGAGATAAATAAAAAGAAATTTCAACAATAAGTAAGCCTACCAATAGCTACTTTTTTAAGTACTATACAGGAAGGCTTTTCTAAGTGTATCCATTTTTTAATAACTACATAAAACACATAAATAAAGTTATATAAACATGATAAATATTTAAAATCACTCGTATCATTCATTTGAACTTATCTCAAAAAGTATGTGATTTATGGGCTTTTATTTTACGCGCGACTATTCATAACTAACACGCACACAAGTTCGTTTCAAAAGTATTCGACGCATTTATGAATGACTACCGCATTGTCAACAAGCTCTGTTTTTTAGGTAATGGAATGGCAATTTTTTTGAAAAAAAAATAAGTCTGTTTTTATTTCAATAAACGATTATACTACCGAGTCTGAATCTCCTGTGTATTTGGGCATCTTGAAATAAGCCAACCTGTATTATATATGATAATAAAAAGCAACGAATTATTACGAACAAAAAAAGAATTTTGCAAGTCCATCTATATATGGCGAAGTTATGCCCGAACATACGAAAAATATATGTAAACATCCGAATTGATAACCTCCTTCTTTTTGAAGTCGTATCATGATTATAAAAATAAACCACGACTACGTGACGCCCCCCTGGCACCAAAGCTGGATCCGCCCTTGGCTTTACCCGGTTAGTTATGACCATGTACAGAGGCAATCCCTGACCATAATGTGGTGGTTGAACTGCCTGCTCGTTTACCACCTTTTCTTGCGAAACCCATTGGTTTGGTGCATGTTTAAGTGGTTGCAAATTTGCGTCGTGGTCCATCGTGGACAGGACGTACTCATAAGTGAAATTAGAAAATTGGTTTGGAATTTCTGTGTGTTTTACGTCGTCTGCAGTTTTATGTGTGTCTTTATTTTAATGAACGGTTCACGGAGCACATTAATGTTAGAGAACAGGATTTTATTTAAATTTAGAACGGAAATAAATCATAATTAAAACATCATGAAACATCTTAAGAACAGAGAAGTTTCGGATCATGTGCATCGCCAAGAATTATCTATAGAAATGTAGTGACGGCTTAAATGCTTTCCACTGCTGTCTGTACAATAGCTTCTTATTTGGTTACCTATACAATAATCGTTATCATAAACGAGGTTCATCACCTTTATCAGAGTCAGCACACTGTCAGATATGCTCATTGTCAGTTGTGTAATTTATTCCAGCATCAATTATTTAATATATACTATACAAAGTAAATAAAGCGTGTAATTTAATTTTGAATATCAAACTAATCATGCCAAAATTGATTTGCAACACAAATTCCTCGAAATTAATTAAATTTCAAATTATATATCGCTATTTTGATTTTGTAGAATCATCATCGTTCATTGAATTCAATTACAAAATAAAAATATACATTTCACGCTTTGTAAATAAAATTTATCTATTATAAAATATTATATTACATAATATATGTCATAAAAAAAACTGTCTTAAAACGGTGGTAGGGCCACGCAGCAGCCTCGGCTGTTGCACGAATGGGCAGGCCCGTCCGGGTAAGTACCACGACCTCGCAGAAGGCCAGCGTAAAGTGGAAGTATGACAAATACTTTCGCGTTTCCTCTGGTGAATGAGGTAGCCGGAGCCCAATTTTCAAAAGGTTGTCAACGTATCTGTAACCCTCGGGTGTGGCAGATGTCCATGGGCGGCGGTATTCACTTAACATCAGGTGAACCGTCTGCTCGTTTGAGAACTTTTCGCATAAAAAAATATTAAAAATACGTCTGCTTGTTTGAGAATTTTTCGCATAAAAAAATATTAACAAGAAATAAAAGGAAACGCAAACAGAGTAATTAAAAACTTATTGCGATACCTACTGTTAGGAAAACAAGTTCAAATTTAAAAACTAAGCACACACAGCTATCGCGTATCGTAACACAATTAATTACAACCACGACATTTCGCAAATAAATCAAGATATTTGTCGGGTGCGGAATAAATTACTTATCTCGTAAACGTTATCAATGCCCGCCGAGGCAAATATTGGCTAATGGCAGAGAATTAGTTTTCCCTCTGGCGTCACAGTTTGCGAGTGTTCAAGATTAGATGCCAATTTATGGATAAAAAATTGTGAAGCCCACACGACTGGTTTCAGTCTTACTGTTTGTGGGAGAAGGTGTCAAACGAGAATGCAATTCCCCTGACGATAAGTGAACCCCACATTTCGCGGTATAAGGATTATATAACGCGACATGTGGGGTTATGCTTTGTTGCAGAATTGTACGCTACCCTTAAAGTCATCTGGCAACTTCACTGACTAGACGAAGTGCAAATGTATAAATACTTCTGTTATACGACGCGCAAAAGGCGTTCTGTCGCTCTCTGAAGCCGTGGTGCTGCTCCAAACCGCACCATCACATTAAATGCACTGTATCTCATATTTATTCTTAGCATGAAAACAAATTATATTTTGGAGAGAATGACGGATGACTGCAAAAATCATTTTTCCTAAACCTAATGAATGATAATTTTGGTCGTTTTGGTATGCCCACTGGCTTATACGTTATATACGTTACAAAAGAAAAGACATGTTTTTCCTTTGCAAAATAAATGCTCTAAGAATACAGGAATTGAATCGCGTGAGTCTCAGAACAGCCAATGGACTACTGTATTTACACTAGGCTCATCAGTCTCTTCCATGGATTGTGTTGGCTATTTCCAATTAATCCTAACACTAAAGGGCATTTTGACTTTAAACAATATCGCTACCCCGTTGATATTAGAACGGAGTCCAGTGGCGGTGGCGTAAGTGCCGAAGCGGCCATAGCGCTGGTGGGTCAGATCTTCCCCTCCGCCGTTCTAGAAGAGAACTTCGCCGAGAGATTGGTGTTCTCCGTTCCGCAGTCCTCCGTCTCCAGCTTGGCGAGGTGCTTCCAGCAGATAGAAGATGGTAAGAGAAGATAAGAACGTATCGCTCGCACTCGTAAGCGATAATTCGAAAGACATTTCGCTCTCGCCTCACGTCGTTAATGAAACTTGAAAGGAAACAAGCTGACTTCTTTAGTTTACGTTACATTTTACTTTTTTAATATAATATACCTACTATTATATTAATTATTGGGCTTTTCTTTGAAGATTGTACACTTAACTGTACTATCTACAAAGAAAAGCCCAAGAATTATTTTATCGTAATGTCAGCTTGCAATACTACGTCCAAATAATTTATTTCGTATGATTGAACGTGTTCTAAAGTGCTACTTATAACTTTAATAAAAAGTTTGGCTAATATGGCCTAATTGTGGAATTATGTATCCTACAATCTTCTTGAATCTTCATGATTTTTTTTTGGCCTGGATGAGCCACTGTTGGCCTTAAGAGCCTTTACAGATCCGACGGGCTTGAGGTGGCTTGGCGCACGAGGCGCCTAGCCTGAACCTCGCGTATTATTATTACGCGTTATGGTGACTAAGCTCGAGGGCTCCCGGGGGAACCTCGGCTCGGGCCGTCACGCTATTATTTCCACCAGTTTGGGAGGCCGCCAAGCTCTTAAGGCGCTTTGGCGGGCGCTCCATGGAGTGATCAGGCTCAAGGGTCCCCGAGAGGGGACCTCTGCTTGGGCTGTCACTCAGCACGCGTTTAGCATTCCATTTTATTAATGCATGACATTCGACTTAAATACTCCGAATATTTAAGATTTTTTTTCTTATTTTCGCTATGCAGTGCTGATTTCGATTTTTTTTTCAATTATTTCACAGCAAAGGAGAAACTGAACATAGTCGAGTACAGTTTTAGCCAGACAACGCTGGAGCAGGTGTTCCTGAAATTCGCACAAACCGAGAACGTCGAATCTTCAGACCAAGAGCATTAGAAAAACGTTGATCGTATGTATTGTAAGGTTATACGCTGTTATTGGCGCTTGGTAAACTCTGTAAAGTTAAGGTTTTTTTTTCTTTTCGCCTAATCTCGAGTTAACAATAAAAACTTGTAACCTTTATTAGTTAAAAAAAAACAATCCGGAGGTAGTAATCCTAAGTAATAATATTTTTTATTACATGTAACAATTTTATTTCAACTTTCCTAGCCTGATTAATTATAATTTTCCTTCCCAAAATTGACCCTATCAGAGGTTACCAAGTGATGAATCAAAAGCGTAAATTTGCGCTTTTAAAACTATACTATAAGGAATCGCTTCTAATATACTCTGTAGTTTATTTCGTTGAGTTATCAAAAGCTTTTTTGTATGAAATTTTCCAGTTCATGAGAGAATATTATATAGGTGCCGTAGTATTTAATAACAATATCGTACTCCGTGATGTGACAAAAATCTGTTGGCCTATGTATGAATTAACATTACCTACTTATCTAAATTTTTAATTTTTCTAATACTTAGAACTAAATAAATCGCCTGATTGTTGAATGGGAGAACCGTAAGGTTGGCAGTGTACCCATACAAAAATATGAAATTATGTGATTGATATAAATCTCATTAATAAAGTAGTTGTAAAAAATTGAAATGTGTGGAAAGGGATTCAGTCACATTCACGGCGCATGATCTGTAGCTCGTATTGACAGTGTGAAATGTTTTATAATTTCATACGTTCCGCAGGGAATTTTATACGCCGATTCACTACGAAATAAATATTTTTACATCTGTACATTGAGATTAAATATTCACCACTCGAATCTCGATCGCCACGTTGTATTGCCCATGAGAATCTGAAATTTACCTCAAACGTTAAATTACTTTAGCGAAACATTAATTTAGCGTTAAATAAAATAAACTTCGCGTCGATAATTTGGCAAACTGAAATCAATTCGAGATATATTATCAATCGAATATCATCAAAAAGTTTTTAGCTTAAGTTTATCCTTTTACTCTCTTAGTATAATGTCATACAATTAAATATTAAATTAAAATTTGACCTAAACAATCATGCTTTTATGTTACCTATATGACTATTTTTCTGTCCTAATATGGAAGGTTGAAGTACTTCAACCCTCCATATGTCCTAACAAACTTGATCTTTTTAATTTTTCACCACCCCAAAGTGGAATTTTTCATATTCAATTAAAAAAATTAAAAGGCTTCGTAATAAGTCTCTTAAATTATTGCTTATCTGTGTTATAGCTAAAGATATTATATCTCATAATCGACAGGTGTAAGAATTTTTATTTTTGTCCAAATTTACCAACATAAAAATATTAACATACAGTCAATATGTTAGGTACATATTTTATTTCTTTATGATTTATTATAAAAAATATTAAACTACTAACTACCGACTATAATTATATTAGTCAACGATTCATCTTGTTCAAGTATTTGATAAACCTTTATAGGTTATAAAAGTTGTTTTGACAGGTATTTGACATTCGCTATGTAGAATAATAGATCAAAATTTATTTTTGTGATTAATTAAGAACTTTGTGATTTATTTCTAGTCACGATTTTATCATGTAGGTAATTATTTTTAAATTTTAAGTAATGTTATGATGTGTGATTTATTACAAAAATAATAGACAATAGTTGATAAAGAAGGGAAACTAATGTGACAGATCCAACATCTTTTTCACTGTTAAATAATATTATTAAATGCCTAAAGATACATACACTAAATTTATTGTCTTAGATTTTATACATAGTATGAAGGATAAAGGCTACGTAAACATTAAAATTGTTGCGATGTAATAGAGACAACGGATTTTTTTATTTAATAAAAAGTTCATTGTAAAACTTTTAGTGAAAAACAATGTGAATTCTGGAGCATAAAAATTTTGCAAGTTTTGTACAACACCATAATTATTATGCTACCGTGAGGTTTAATACGTTGATGACCTCGAATACGGTCTATGATCGATTACTTAAGGACTTACTGGTGTTTTCTGTGTAATTATTGAAATAAGTAATAAAATATTCTGAAATATAACTAAAATAAAATGATTAAACGCCCGACATAAGAAACTGTAACTTAATTTTTTAGCCAAGTTCATCCAATACCCTGGAGAGACTTTACAGGTGAACTGGTCAATGTATGTAATTATGTGGTTAATTAATTTCCCGGAATAAATTTTTGAGTCTCTCTATGCAAATTTATTAAAATCATGGCAATTGATCCACTGTTTCTCCACGATTAATTTTCCTAAACACGTATAGAACAAACTTATATACACAATAATTTGCCTTATGACTGCCCAAACAGGAACTAGTGATCGTCGACAACCCTCATTTTCCACTTTATCTACTTGCAGATAAATGGTTACTGACTTAGACATCAACAAAAAACTTTACAAGCAAGATACGAACCTGTTTTATCACATCGATACTAAATGCTGAAAAACTTTACATGATATAAATTAACGAAAGGCAAATGGAAGGAAGCGTCCTATGTAAACATCGTTTCCTTGAATATTCTAAAAGATAATTTACGAGTCAAACCGTCTTGGTCATTGGTGTGATAAGCTAGCCGTGCGTGTGCATACTTTGTGCACACATTAGTCTGGTAGTACTTTACGTATACAATAGAAAAAAAGAATGTGGAACTTTATATGACAAAAAATACAGTTTTTTAAATACACTATGATACGCGGGACTTTGACATTAATATACTAAAGTGACATTACGAAATAAAGTACTACATTGTTTAACATACATTTTTTTGTTTATAATATACGGAACTTTATATATGTATGTCAATGTCAATGTCCCTCGTATCAACCTATATTTAACAAACTGTAAGTAAAGACAAATGAAAGGAAACGTCAATAGAGGGCAACATCGGATCATATTTTCAATCCACATTGATGAACGAAACTGTCATGTCCATGTCTCATGTCCACTCGTAAATAATTGAACACTCGATTCTTGAACTGACAAACAAATAATTGTTTATCGGTCATGATTGTCCCCTTAGTTAAATTTATGAGCAGAGTAAAATTCATTTGGAGGCGCGTTTCTCAAGTGCTTACGTGAAAATAACGAAGACTTACTGATATGAACCGAGCATTTTCAACAGGAAACATACAGGGTTGAATTTTAAAAAATTCAATCTCTACAACTCAGTAAGCGGGTATTTCAATAAACTTCTTGAGTTTTCAGATGGGTGGTAGTAAAATCGGGTTACGATGCTTAAGAGACAAAAAGGAGGCAGTCAGAATAGGCCCATTACAAAATTAGGGCCACCATCTAAAATCAAATTATATATGAAATTTATTTATTATGTTTTCTATTAAATCATGGATTAAAAGAGTTTTATAGAATACCGGAACGCATGAAATCAGTGTAGGCAAAAATTACAATACTTATTATTATCATTATAAGTATTTTAATTTTTTACCTAATTCAAATGAATTTTTAATTTAGTCAAATATTAACATGGGATACAGCCTAAATTAACAACGCGCAGGCTGAAAAAAAAACTTGTACAAATTTCTTTAAAAAAAAATCTTTACACCATGACACCTTTGCTTACAGCTGTTTTGGGAGTCTATGTAAACGTTGTTGAGTATTGTGAAATATTATTTAAGAGTCAAGCCGTCTTGGTCATAGGGGTGTGATGAGCTAACGCTTTGTGACCTTGTGTCTGACCTTGGAAGCAGCGCAAAGATGCAAAGCTGGCACCTTTTGTGTTTACTCCAATTTTAATACAGGTGTAAATAAACGGGTTATTTGCTCTATTAATTTACGACAAGTCAACAAACAATTTAAGTTAACTAGTTAACATTATATTGTCAAAAGAATCGAATGCTAAAATTATTGACCGCTAGGTAACTTAGAAATTTATCGAGCTGTCGTGGAGATCTTCAAATCGAAATGTTTTTCTCTTCGGATAGTGTCAAAGACACTGCGACACCTACCTTAAGATTTCGAAAATGTACGCTTCTATAAATGACGGTAATTCTATAAATTACGTACCTACCTAATAAGCGAAAACTACAGTAACAGTAGTGCGTTTGATAAAGTAAATTTGAAATATACAATACAATATAACCTGTGGTTTGTAAAAAGCATGGCATATGAGTTTTATAGGCTCTATTTACCAAGGATGTCTATGATTATATGATATTGATAATATTATAACCAAGCTTTCAAGTGAACAAAACCATAGAGTTAAAATCAGACAGACCCCTATTGTAAGTCTATGATAATACTGTAATAAACTAAAATAGTGTTAAATTTATCGCGCTGTCTGTTATTGTGGCTTATGCTTAATACTATCAAAATGTTGATTTTTTTCATAACTAGTATTAATAAGGGAAATCTAACGTATCCATGTCAGCTTTAAGTTACAGTATTTAGTTGTTATTATCGTCTCATTTTAAGCAAATTGTGTGTTTTATTCATAAGTGTATCGACCTACGAACTTCGGCAGCCTTAAATAGTCGAAGTCTTATGTAGTCTCGGTATTTGTATATCAATTTATATGATTTTCATATCGATTTACCACAAAACTCATGCAATGTTTAAATGCAAAACTCGACGACATGTCAAGAGAAGATAGCATCGTGTGACGCCGCCACTTTGAATCGCGTGCAAATATTGCTTAGTCTATTTTAAAACTTATTCTGATCAAATAAATGCTCTATCGTTAAATCGATGTGGTGAACTTAATTTCATTTAAATCCAACATTCTACTAATCTCACAATTTGTGGTCGCATCGACATAAAACAAGACATTTTTTTCTTTTATTACAATCTTAAATGAAAATCAACGCTCTACCTTCAATGTTGTTAATGTTAAATACGTCGACATTTGTTATTTTCAATCCTTGAATAAGAGACTTAAAAAGTCCTAAAAAGGTTATGTAAGTTAAAATGCGATGTGTAGTATAGAGAAACCGTTTTAAAATTGTCGTGTTTAACAGTAA